GGAAATCCATCAGATCCTTAAACTCGCAGTTGCAGTGAAGCATAAAGCATCTCTTTAGTGTGGGGGGGAAATGGGAAAATCAGGAGCGCGATTTATCATTCGAGCTGAGATTTCGTGCCATTTGGAGGATAAATTTGAAATGAAAACCCTTCGGATGTTTCTTGTGAAGATACTGCAGTGGGTGGATCATTTGGGATGCGCACAGAGACTTCGCTGGAGGGTTGGCGAGAGAGAGAGAAAGAGTGGGTGAGAGAGGCAGGAAATGGCGATAAATTTGGTGTATAAATGTAATAGAGACACATACAAATATATTTGTGACATGGCTGATGAGGGTTGCGCAAAAAAATCGCACAGACATTCCCCAAAGCGCCTCCAGGGTGGAAAATCACAATTGGCGGAAGAAGATATCACATAAATCCCACATGGTGGAGTGTATATCTCACCCTGACACATCGCAACTTGCCCGCCATGTGATAAGTCTCGCGCCAAATTGACGAAAGTGCGTTTGTCTCCCTCTCTCGGCAGGTCTGCAATCCCTGTGGGTGACTACATGGTGTAGCTCCGAACTGCAGCGGAAAAACCAGCAACTGCCGCCGGCCACCATCCACGACAGACCGCCCACGATCCTGGCACCCCCGACAGGCTCCCAGAGCAGCGAGAAGCTCATCGTGACGCCGAGCAGCGAGACAGGTAAAGGGAATTTCAATAAAACCCACCCACGACGACGGCATCTCGCCCATCAAAGTCGGGCCCATGAATTTGCAATTTGGAAATCGACGGGAATTTTTATTGCGACACGTTCGCTGCATCACGCAATCCATTTGGACGCACTGTTTTTGCGCCATCAGCAGCACAGAGCTTTTTACGACGGCCCCAGCTTGATGGCATCAGCCAGGGACAGATGGACCGATGGCTGTTTATGAAATATACACTTTTGGGGTAGTCAAAATTCCGGGTTGTGTCTTTTTACGGGGTAAAAATACTTCGGCAAATTTGGCGCGTAAAGAATGAGTGAAAATTAGAAGATCGTCGATCATTGTTAAATTGAAGCGAAAAAGTATGTAATGTAAAATGTCTGAGACGAACATAAACTATGCCTCGTAAAAAGTGATGGATTGAAAGTGTTAGAAATTCACCCAATTCCAGCTGAAATGCCAGAACAGACAGATTATAATAATAAATTTCAGCACACAGTGCTCGACACAAAGTAATTCTAGTTACTCAAATTATTATTGCTGCATAAAATATTATTCAAAGCTCTCGCATGTGAGAGAGATTGGAAAGTTATTTCATAACAACGAAGCGGGATTACTCGTGAAACAAGAGATTAACCACTCCGACTGTCCAAATATTTGATGTTAGCATGAGGGACTCTTTTCCAAATAATTATATTTTAATGCTGCTGCATAAAAAGAATCCTCGTTTGAGCTTTGCGTGAATATTTCACATGGCTTTTGCAATGGGATTTTTCTGTACATATATATATATATGTGCTCTCTCGCAGGGGGTGGAATTTCATAAAGAATCTCATCAAAATTTTATTCACAGTTCTTCTGACAATCTCCACACGGCAAATATCATCGTTGAATAAAATATTGTAGCATTTTTATCAATGCTTTCACTCTCTGTCAAGCTCCTCACTTCAGCTGTCCAATGCGTGTGATCTTCGTTAAGATTCATAGCAAAAGGGATGGAAATTTAAAGCACAACTTTCACCTCGCTGTGCTTGACGTGCACAAACTTGTTGGATGCCCGAAGGGACGGGCAAAAAGGCATTGACAAGGTATCGACTGTGTGCAGCAGACGGCTTTTAGATGGGATTTTAACGTCAGGAGCATAACTCGTCGGGGTTTATATTGTGCTCGGTGCAGCCTTAAGTGGGCACTCCTTTAGCCTCGGGCCACCACTCTCTGGCATCAACATGAATTGGAGGGAAACGAGCATGGCAGGCTTATGAAAAGTTGATGAGAAAAGCTCGCAATATAAGCTCATCTATGAAAACTTCACTTCGCAATTCGGTGGAAGTTTTAAATAAAAGCTACCAGTCGAGCATGCCTTTCGGACGCAATCAATCATCATCTCAATCATTTATTCATGATTCTTAGCACCGCATTCATAAGATATGCGCTATATATGGCTCCAGAGAGAAAATGTGCGATGCAGAGTGAAATATAATTTAGGAATTGAATTATTCACGGGAGAGCGCAGGATGAAAAAAAAACAACATTTCATTCCCCAGGAGAGGAAAAGCTCACAAAAAGGAGACTTGAAAATTAAAATTCTCTCCTGCAATGTGGCTTTGAGGCAATCATTTCTCGCAACCGCCACATGGGATTAATTAGATTTTCACACAGATAGCGCAGAATGTGTGCAAATCCACCCTTCGTCAATTAATGATAAATCCTCCTCCCCAAACCTCGCGGCGTTCGGGCGGCGAGCTTTTGTGGCGGAGCTTTCGGGAGGGATTTCCGTGGCAAGATGAAAAGTCTCTTCTCCACGCCTCTTGTCTGGGGGGCGCCATGAAATCTGTAATTATTCATCTGGAAACATTCTGGGGCAACTGTTTCCCAAAACTACCGCTCTCTCCTCATGCTGCCTTTCATCCACAATTATGTCGCACTATCCCGGCTGCGGGATGAATAAGTTATGTGCTTTTGGAGTGCGTGGCAATTTTCCATGAGGCAACTTCCCTCAAAGATCTCTATCAATCTCAAGCTCATAGTTGCTGTCGAGTCGCCCGAAGTGTGCCACCCACACACACACTCCATACTTTCCATATTCCTGCAATTACGACTACACTCGCCCATTGAATTAATTCACACGATGACACCCACACCGTAAAATTGACGATGCCATCATTAAAGTTTCCCCTCGAGAGTTTTCTCAAGTGTGACTTCGATTAGTGCAGCATAAGCGAAAAGTCTCTTATCTGTGACCAGATTTACATTTCAGCGACGGGATTTCCCGGCAAATTCACGACGATTCATCCCAATTGGGCGTGGATGGGAAAAGGGTTTGGCTGGAAGGGTGAAAACACCCAAAATCCACGATTTATCGAATAAGAAATCTCGCTGCCAAGCTCCTTTAGGCAAGTCTTAGCACTCCTTTCTCAGCTTCAATAGATCCCCACTGCAAACGCTGCTATTATGACTGAATAGCTTGTATTTTAGCAGAAATCAGCCAAATTTTTTGCATTTTCAAGCTAATTTTGTGATAATAATAAATTCGCTGATTCTCGAAATCAAATCTGTAAACTCTTTTACAGCGAAAAGTGGTCTCAGAACATAATTCTCACGGATTCCAAACGCTGAACGGAGACATTTTAATGTCGGCCAGTAATTTCGGCACGTTTCTGTAATTTCACAGGGGCGGCAATTGAAGGGTGAAGACACACAACAGAGTTGCTACACGTTAGCATCCCCAATTGACGATATACGCCCGAATGTTACCTGCGGCGAGTCTATTTGCAGTAAAAGCGTCAACAAATCCGACGGTCTCAGGGCGCAGCAAATGGTGTGTGTCGAAATGCTGTGACCCTGTGAACAGTAAAAAAAAAATGCAAATACCATTCATTTGATGGAACAACAAAGTCATGCCTCGGCGTGCGCCAAGAGGGTGGGATTAAAATTGTTATTTTATTTTCGTTTTCAGTTCATGACTTCCCGACAAACAGGGCTTGTGATGTTATTTACTCTCAGATGACGGAACAATTTAATAAATGATGTGCATATCCTTCACGAGCCGCCCATGCTGACGACACCATCAGCATCGATGTCCTCCGATCCGTAGTGGTGACGGATGGTGACATTAATATCAAACACATCGCAGCAGAGTTTACGTCTTGTGCTTTTATATTTTATGTGACACAAGAATTTGTTACATGTCCCGGGTCTCGCCACCCACAAGCGCCCGGATCGTCCATCTTCCCGCCTCTGCCGAAACACTGGCATGAGCTTCTCACCTCCAGCTGAATATTTAACACTGTACAAGAAGATTTCCCGGCCACACGAAGCGGAATGAAGCTCATTTGTTGTGAGCTGAAGCACAATTTTCACAATGCACATGCGACAGTCGCCCATCATGTGCCCCAACCGCCAACACTGAGTGCATTATTTTTAGGCTTCGCAGAGTCAAAGTGAGCCCCGGCGAGTAAACTTCGCATTTCATCTCTCTAATTCACTCTGGCGCGCAATCTTCATGTGTGCCTCAGGGCCGAGGCGCATACAAATTCACGGTGTGCGAAATTAACGAGACTTTAATTAATTAGTGAATTAGAGGGACGCCCGGAGGGGTACATTATTAGTTTATGTGGTTGTGGGGAGAGGAATACCTTTGGAAAGCCATTCTTTGGAGATAATCACCTGTGATGTTTGGCGCTCTGCCTTAATTTGCTGGGTTGGCACCGAAATTTCACCCCCAAAAGCATTGCCGCTGAATGGGGAAAAATACACCATGGCATTCACTCCTAATGACATCCATTCCGTTGTCCTACATCCTGATTGGATTTAATTGAAAAAAATTAACATTGATTGCTCCAGTTTTTCCAGCCAAAAAGACACGCGTTTCCAATTGCAGGTAATTTGGTGAGAGAGAGAGAGTTCACCAAAGGAAATCAATAGAGCCATTTTCAGTCTAAATCATGCGGGAAATGTGAATTAAAAAGCGTTTTTTCATTCCATCACGCAGAGATAAAATCCACATTCGTGCGTGGAGCTCAGATGAGCATGAATGCGGCAGATGAGGGAACGTGTTCGTCGTTCAGCGACAATAAATATTAATATTAATAAAATACACCCCAAAAGTGGGGTGAGAATATTGAATCCATGCCTCTGCTCTGGCGTATGTCAAACGTGGGGATATGCCTCGACGTTTATCCTGGTGCCCGCACACATCCTGCCATATTTGGGGTGGATGTGAGGCTATGCATGAAATTATGTAATATTGAAATTTGTTAGGAATGTACACAGCATTGAAAGTGTCTTGTATTCTCGCAATTTCAGAGATGGATGACATGTTTCTCCAGTGCAATAAAAACGCGATTTATGTCCTCAACAGCAGCTATCGCTATGGGGTGAGTATAGCGCCGAAGGGTCTCTCGCCCTCTCCCTCCCTTAAGTGGAAATTTCAATTAACTCCATTCCATCACCACAATGCACATTCCGACCCATCATCGACGCCACATCGATCAAAACTTTCACAAACATGTCATGAAATGCCCTGCCAAGGAGAAATTCCTCTTGTGACCAATTTTCCAGGCAAACGATCTCCTCCTGTGCCTCGCTTTTTCTCAAACGCAAACACCCCACTTTCTCATGGAACTTTGCAAAATTTACAACGAGGAGTGTCCATCGGCATGCCCGCACATGCACAAGAATGCGAAGCAGCACTCATAGTTGAGCCATTGTGCCCCCCAGGAAGTGTGTGTGTGTGTGTGTGTGTGTTTGTCTTGCTCAAGTAGACATTCCCCGGATTCCCGCCAACTGCTTGTGGCATTGTTCAGCGGGTGGCAGCCCCACACCCCCTGTGAAATGCATCTTCGAAGTTGCGTCTCTGTAGCATTGCATCTTGCAAAATTATCGAGTTACTTTCCGCACATGCTTCAACCATAACTTTGAGTCGCTGAGTAATTGCATAAAGACTGAGAATCTACCTCACAACTTTCATGCATTGTGATATTAATTTCATTGATGCAAATAAGCAGCGCACGAACAGAGAATAAGCATCTCAAATCACACAGCATAAACCGCGATAAACTGTTCTCGCGAAGTTATTATTTTTCGTCACCGCCCGAAAAACCACTTCTGGCAAATCCCAAGAATCTCTCTCGTGTCTCGAATTACACCCAATTCCTCTGAGTGCACGAGCAATCATGGTGCATTTAAACTCCCCAGGACAACTTGTCACAGAGGATTTGTCAGACGCATGCAAACACAGCAATTGAAGAGAAATTGTTTACTTGCAGGAGTACGACATGATAAACTTGTTCGGATCGCCGGCTGGCAGAGCACTGAATACGTCAAAGACGCCGCAGACGTCGCCGCAGCCCACCTCGCCCACATCCTTCCCGCCACTGCCCGGGCGCATCGCCGCGGACGCCGACGTCGAGGCCACGGCCAGCAAGGCGTCCAAGAAGACCTCCATCTTCAAGTCGTCCAACATTGCGGCGAAGAAGTGCAAGTTCTGGAAATTCCTCGAGGATGAGAAGCTGAAGAAGAACAGCGTCGAAGATCTCTCAACCACGAGCAGCGGCCAGAGCAGGTGTGTGTGTGTGTGCCAAAGCTCGCCGCAAAATCATCATGCAAATTCTCACGTTCGCTTTCCTTTTGCAGTTCCAGCCGATGGAGGAAGTCCAATCGCAAATCGAGCACGGAACTGTATCGTGAGGCTGCTCAATTACTCGGGCTCTCCTGCACACTGAGTGACAATTGCCGGTGCATGGATTGTCAGGTAGAATGAGCGACAGGAGATTCCGGGCAGAGTTGAGAGGGTGTCAGATTGCGGATGGAATAGAGATATCAGTGCTGCAAACAGACAACTGAAAAGGTCACTTTAGGTCTCGTGTGAAAGACTATTGAATTCACAATTGAATTCCTCTGCAAGATAACTAATCACATTGTGATTGATTTGCAAGAAGGGTAGATATTTGCCTATGATAGTGAAACTAGTCTGTGTGCAGAAGCAAATGTTATCCAAACAATGCATAAAATGCTTTTAGAATCTTTGCTCTGAGAAACAAAGACTCAGAATTCATTTGAGGAATTAAATCTCAAGCAAATTCTCTTACAGAATTGCTTGAAAGAGTTGAAAAAAGTTGATGAAATGCTTCTGAAACGACACACAATCTTCATCCCTCATCTTGTCAGCCTCTCAACTCTGACTCTGAGCGATATCCTTTTTCGCGCCAATGCTCACGCTTCGAAATCTAATGCATTTCTCCTCGGCAGAGCCGCTATTTCGACTGTGATGACTCCGATACGTACTCGGACCATTCGTTCAGGGTGGACTACGGCTGCCCGGAGGACATGCTCAGCGGGGACGCCAGTGAAGCCCGCCGGCCGGTCGATTGCCCGGAAAAGTTTTGCACTTCTGGCGGCTGTGAGGAGCTCTCGAACAGCGAGTCCGTGAGCGACCTGAGTGTGGACGACGAGGGGCGCTGCAGCCCCGTGGCGGTGACATAACTGCCCCCGCCATCAGCTCACTCCCGAAAGATGCCACTGAGGATTGTGTGTACATATTTGATAAGTTTCGCGATGGAACAATTATTGACTGTTGAGCTGCGTGTTTGGAGCCACCAATTTCAGCGAGAATCAAAGCTATAGCCATTTACCATTGTTAACTCACGGTTCATCAGTGACTTCATTCTGCACAGTGGTTATTTTTTTTATCTCTCACCATTGCTGGCCATGAGCAGGACTAATTGTCGAGGCGTACAGTCTTTTTTTGCGCAGAAAAAAAACCCGTGCGAGTGCGTGTGTTTGTAAATTTATCGGACTGATTTTAGGGGTTGGAAGCGAGCGTGTTCATCAATCTCACTAATTTTCATTCATTTTTCTCTCACTCTGGCAAAAAAAGAATCAACATCGCATATATGTGTATCAATCGCTAATCGTAGAACGTAGATAAATCACCGTAATTAAATCACACACACACGAGAAAATGTTGGACATATTAATTGGGGGATCATAAGCAGGATTCCGACGGTTGCTTAACATTTTTGAATCATCACACCGATTGAGCGGCTGCGAAAGCTCTTCCTCATTCACAAAGCGGAAGCTATTCTCGAATAAAAATTCATCCCCCGGGGGGGCGAAAAAGGCGTCTCGCGAGAGCCTGGCGTCTCCTGTTGATGGATGGGTGAGAAGGTTAACATGAGCGGACACTAAATTTGGGCTGGAATTTAATGACGCGTGCTGAAGTTGGGCGTGGGGCGGCTAAAACCCCGTCCTGGCTAAATATAGCCATATATTTGAGGCCATAACGCGACAGTCGCAAAGCGATTTTAATAGGATCCCGAGATAGCGCCATCGGGGTAATTTTTATTGTTAATTGACTCAATACACTGGCAAACACTAAGCGCAAACTTTCATTGATGACGGTAGTAAAAGTGCTCTATACGTATTTTGTGCGCCCGTGGAACCTCAGCAATATTTATGAGGGAGTAAAATTAACCCCAATATTTCACTCTACATAACTTTTTATCATATCAATTTTATTTATTGCCGCTTGCATTTCCTTCGGTCCGCAGTTTTATGGTGATCCAGACGGGAGATTGTCGCAATAAGAATTATAATTCATGAGCTTGCGATCATAGTTTGGGTGAATTTGTTGTGGGAAAATGATAAAAAGCAATTTCTTGGGGGTGCTGCTTTTCGCTGAATAGCGGAGTAAACACTGCAGTAAAAGTGAGCGGAAATTAAGCTCTGGCGATAGAGATAAGGGAAGAAATGATCAATTTTAACAACTACAGACTTCATTAGCAATTCGGGCTGTTGATAAGCTCTATTGATTGATATGTAGCCGAACCTTTCACTGCATCATTGTAATTCCCCACCCACGCGGGTTCTCATCACTATGCGCATAAATTTGAAAAGTGGAAGCGCACAACAAGGGAATACTCCGCTAGTTAACATTTTGGGATACAAATTTTCCGCCCCTAATTGAATTCATCTCAACATTTCAACTCATTATAGTCTTTTTTTTGCCCCAGCATGCACGCCTCTCATAATTGCAAAATGTTAAAAAATATACTTCCCACACAATCCAATTATGGCCACAACTCCCGTGAAGTCCGGAGAACAGACACGGGAATTATTCAATTAGATTTCCGATGGCCGCAGGCTGCAAACTTTACGATTGCATTTAATGTTCCCGCAGCGAGGGCTTTTTCCAATGGACGCAGAGCAGAGTTTTTCCGCTCAGATCTTGTGAACTCGCCATGTGATGTACACAATTTTATCTATCAGGCAAAATTACATTGTCTGCGAGATGCTATGTCAGCACGATGAGTGCAATTTTATACACTTTTTACCCTCACTTCCATCCATCACGGTCCATGAATGAAACTGTGGGAGCTTTCACTAGCCCTTCCAATTCACCTGCGGAAGCTTTTCGTGAGATACTATTTCTCCCACGGAGTGTGAAAAAAAAAGCTTCACGAAACATCCAAAACAAGCAAGAAAATCCGAACGATTGATCGGATGAAAATAGCGCTAATATAAATCTATCGTGAAGATTTCACTCAGGAAATGAGGGAAAATCAATTGTAAAGTAATCAAACAGGAGAAAATTAGCTAAAAGACTTTCCCAGTGTTGCAGAGAGACAAATTTGTCATCTGCCGTTGGATGGAAAATGGGCGAAAGTTTATGTGGAATTTGCAGGAATGTTGATAGAAATTTTTTATTGGCCGCCAAGGAAGAGCTTTACAGCCCACTTCACTCCCTCATTCACTCTCCCTCTCTCTCTCTGTCGCACTTTCCCGCCCTTTGTCATATTCCTTTGAGGAAAATAGGTGCCAAACATTTTTACGATTCACTTTGTTGCCATTTCTCTCGTGCTCGTTTACCCGACGCTATGACATGAAGCATAAAAGCATTGGAGGATACACACATCCAATAATTTATAGTTCACATACATACTACGTGTTTTTATTCGGACTACCATTTAAAATATGAAGATATAAAAATACGAAACTAATGAATTTATATGATAAATGGCAGAGATATTGAAATGGACAGAAAATGAACACTTCAAAATGAATTATGATTACAATTTAGCCAGCAAAATCTATGAAGATTATACTGAATTTATTGTGAAAATGTTTTCTGGTGTTATCTATACTTAAATATATTTTATAAAAAAAGAAGAGAACAACACAGCGTAGAAGAATGTAATTCTTCTCTGTGAACTCGAGAGGAGACATTAAAGAAAGAACTGTAAAGAAAATCCTGAAAGTTTTTCCATCTCTTAGAGCACTTCTGCTCTTTCTTCTCCACTACTTCACGCTGAAATTCCACCAAGGAGGGCAAAAATGGGAGCCGAAGAGTCCGAAAAGTGGTCCAGGTTTCTGAGCTGCATCACAACTTCTAGACCTTCCTTAAGAACGTTGACATTGAAACACATAACAAAGGATTATAACTTGCTCATCTTTACTAAATCATCACTTTCTAATCCTTGGAAACTACCAGGTAAAGTTTGTGCTCATTTCCAAAACTTCCTAAGATTACTTGTGACATGAAATTTTGACTTTCCTTTAAGAATTTCTAGGATTTCAAGTTCATTATTCCTTTTGAAATTACTAGATTAATTCATGAATTCAATATTCGTTCGTTAAGCGCCACTTTGGCTCGTAACTCTTACAAAAGCTCCTCTCCAAGGGGGCGGACAGATATTCTTCGGAAAAAAGGTTGATCAATGACTTGCTTATAATGTTCTTTTTCACTGTTTTTGCAATGGTGGACAAAAAGAAATTATGCAATTTAATCTTGTGTTCAATGTCGAAGAGTTTTCGACTGCTTTTTCGCGAAGTGCTTGCAAATTCATCCATTTTCAGTCCGGAAAAGCCCTCTAAATCACTCTAAAGTGACATTAATACTCATCTACTAATCTCACTAATTAATATGATTTATGCTCCAGTGAACATTTGTAAATATTTCACAATCCTGACTGTTCAAATATGCATTTCTGCACTAAAAACTCAATGCATAAATCATTAGATTTATTCATGTGTCAGGATTTCATTTATCTCACTATGTGTGTATATCGCGCACTAATAGTAATTGATTGGGATAAAAGGATGAGTTAGACTGTGTGTTTTTGCGTTAAAAGGGGAAATTTTGCCTAATTCAGCATCAACACTCGCTTTCCTGCGTGCGAAGAGGAAAAGGAAAAACTTCCTCAGCTGCCGCCATAAATAAGAAATTAATGGTGTAAAATGTGAAAAGTTAAGGACATCCATTTGAGGCAATTCCACTGTTCGCCAGATGGGAAACACCACAAATAAATTGGCTCATTTCAACCCATTCCGCATTGACAAATGTTTAGAAAATAATCGCTTCACTTTTGGCAATTTGTCAAAGGACGCAAGAGAGAGAGAAAGAGAGAGATTCGGTCGAAAGCACTCTGTGAAGTTCTTCAGTCTTTTGTCACGAGCAATCTTAAGAGTGTCTCACTGGTGAGGAGAGGAAATTATTAAATTTTCATGGCGACGCTTGAGGAAATTCACATTGTCTTGGGCGTATTTGCAGATGCCAATGAGGAATTTCCCCTGCGGCTTCCCACACACGCGAGAAATAAACAGAAAATTCACAGAAATGTTTTTCATCCAGAGACTCTCCTCCGCCAAGTATTTTCCATTTGAAAGTGAAACAATGATTGTTTCTGTTGGAATTTTGGGCGGATGTACACATGAGCATATCCCTCCTTGAGACTGTAATTCCCTGAGTGGAAAATCATTGTGGAAAAGGCAAGAATATGTAATCCAATATTTTGATGTTTCCACGCGAAAATGGCACTCTTAGATGAGCAATTGAGGCAAATTGAAAGACCGGTTGCCAAGCGAACGGGTTGCAGAGAAAGGGAATCGAATTACCCAAAGAAAATTCCAACTTTTGGTCAAAACACAATTTCGTCTCCCGGGAAATTTATCGCAATATCAGCAACTCGCCTATTTTTGCCGTCTATATATTGACTGTCGCCACACTGAATGATTAGATTGTCTCCGAAATGGCAAGAGTCATCGCAAATTTACTTTGGAACACGTGTAAGCTTGCGGAGGTCACCCTTGAAAGTTGTGCCACGGAGGAAATTTCAAGGAAGAAGGTGAGATAAAAATTTAGTGTATTTTATCAGTTATCCTTGAGTTGGGAAGATAAACACCGCAAACTTTTGCCATATACCTTTTAATAACCAAAATGTGGCGATACTTTGGAAACTACAATTACACCAGAGCGTGTAGAATTTCCCGGAAAGGGTAGAGAAATTTTACACCGAAGCGTTGAGAGCTTGAGGATGTTTTTTCCCCCCTCAACATCCGTAGAGAATTTCTCTGTGCGAAAATCCTTCCATTTGAAGTGCTTCGGAGAATTGAAAAATTGAAAATTAATTAATAAAAAATTGTTAATTTTCAATTCAGTGTCAATTATATATTAAAATGTGATGAAACATTGATGAAAATCAATTATGCTGTATAATTATTTCAGCAATATGTATGAAATATGATTGCGGAAGCTTTATCAGATCACGAGAGCATTATTGCGTGATTATCACGGCGGTTTAACATTTATTATGAAAATTGTTGATTTTCTTTTCGGATATTCAATTAAATTGTAATTGGTATTATTATAATAATTTTTGAGTTTTTTTTGATTAAGTAAATGTTAATTCAACCACGCGTGGTGGAATTAACAACGAATATAGCTGATTTTTTCAGTTAAAATAACGAATTTTTGAGCTTTTTGTTATTACAATTCGTTATGGAAATCTTATAGCGCTTCAGAAAGCTTCTTAATACATATTAATCTTAAGCATAGACATAGTAATATCATCCTATCTAATCTTAGAGGCTATAATTTCAATTTCAACCCTGTCAACAAATTATCTCCCCTATGCAAGCGCTCTGAGGTGTGTCTTTGTCAGCTTTACCCTAAATATATCAATTGAATTGAAAGTCTCCCAAGCGATTGACAACAATAAATAATACTGGGATGTATTTCCAATGGACTATTCATCACGATCGTTAAATATTTGATGATGGCACTTATTAAATGCCATCCGATGTTTGAACTCAATCCATCGATCAGTGAAATGGAAAACAACGTTGCTTTGAGTTCTCCATTGCCGGCAATGTTTACTCACAAGGAATTGTTGGAATGGCGACAAAGTCTTTTTGGATGGAAAATTACCGAGCAATTGAGGTATTATGTTTATGTGAGAATTACTGTACATTTTAGGCAATTAAGGGGATACACATCAAGAGAATTTTACGACCAAGGAAGCAGAATGCTCAATAAATCATATCTCACTCTCCCAAAAGTGTGATTACACGCCCGGTGAAATGCTTCTTGAGGCTCCGAAAATTAAATTCACCCAAGAGATTTTGAGAGAAAAATTCCAATTTGCAACTAATTCCTTCGGCACAGCGCAAAATATCATAATTATCTCGTTCAATTTTCATGATATCGTGCAAGAAAGCTCTCCCATGTTATTTCCTGTCTGTGAAATTAGTCACTTTCTGTGGCGGAAACACTCATTAAAGCGCCTATTCATAAATCATGAGGAAAATGCTATTGGTTAATTAATGTTTTCTGATTTTCCTCTATAATAAAGTAAAGGTAATTTCGGGGGTTCTACAAAAACATCACAAATAACCCAATAAATACTTGACAATTTCATCATCACAGACAAATAGTTTCCCTAATTAATTGAGAATACATGGGTATAACTTTTCACAGAGTTTACAGACTTTTCCACCGTGTTTCCTCAAACAGTCATCACAAATTTATTCTACCCAGAAAGTGGGTTGAAAACCCCAGAAAGCAATTTTAAGATGAAAAGTTGTTCATTAGGGAATGATAACTTTTCGCCCAGGACCCTCAATTTTATGGAGGGTCTTAAAGTCACCCATAAATATTTCATTAATAAATTGTACACACTTTTATCCATATAATACAAATAAATCGACTTGATGTTTTTCAGCGTCACACAATTTTCTAGGGCTTTTCAGTTGAATTAAATTGGCCAATGAAAAAAAAGTTTATTTAATATCATCCCAAATCACTTTAACTGCAAAATTGCCACACACTGCGCTTTTTTATGTCACAACATTAAATATAATGCAATGTGTTTGTAATTATTTGCCATTTTAATTGATTTACAGTCAAAATTGTATCCCCGCAGAATCGTTTTGCATAAATTAGCGAAAGGGCCAGAGAATATATTCATGTGCAAATTTATACTCTTTGTACTTAACAGTTGTGAATTACATTCGGGGAAATTTCACCAATAAGTGTATGATAAATTGGCGAAATGCTGAGGCTATTAATTTGGTGCGAGAGATGCCCTGCGAGCCAATAAATACGCGGTGGGATCGTCATAAAATGGGCTCCAGTCTGGCGACTTTGAAAGTCATGCCATTGGAAACTCTCTCTTCTGAACTCTGACGATGAATTTTTCCACACTCCATCGGAAATACGAGACGTTTTCTCGTTTACACGATTAGAAAAAGGTTGCAGAGAGAGAGAGCTTTAATTGAAGCAATTTAAAAAATGTGGGCGTGGCATCGAAAAGGGCGGGGCATTTATCATAGAAGAAACCAAAGAGACATTAAGGACTCTTTAAGCCACAAATAAAGCATTTTAGACATTAAAAACTTTACAGAATTTGCTATTTAAATTTCAAGGGAATTTTGCAAAATAGAAATTAATGGGCGTGGCTTTTGAGTAGGTGTGTTGCCACAAGCCGAATTCCCAAAACTCTGTGATTAAGCGTTAATTGCAGAATACTTCAATCGATCATTTTTCCGTGAATCGCACTTTCTGCACGGAATACCCTTGAGAATTCCTCTTGGGATGTGTTTTTTTGCAGTGTTCTTCTTAGGAAACATATAGTCAATACGAAAACCGTGAGCGTGGCAAAGCGCAGGCGTTTCAATTTTCCATACACTCGCCCCAGTTGTGTGAGCAAGAAAAGGTCCAAAAGCCCCGAAGCTCGTGAACTCGAGCGACTGTACGAGGAATCCGGGTGTGTTGGTGAGACTGTGACGACGCTGAATTGTCAGAAGTGTTCTCTGAGTCGTGCTGAACAGTGGAAAATTCTCTTGCCACGGCTTTGGGTGAAAAGTTGTGCCCATTTTTTTATTTGGAAGGATCATACATGGTGAAGCTGTCCAGCGCGAATTAAGTCATCAGTGAAAGTTAACAGAGCAGTGAAGTCCTGTGACCTGGCGACAAGTGTGAATCCTCTGCCACTCAGCTTCGCTTTTGCTGCCCCTAATCAAATTGAAACATATCGATCCGTGCTCTTGTGCGTCGAATTTTACACCATCAGAGAAAGAGAGAGGGAGCGTGAAAGAATTTTTCCTGGCAATCCCCTTGGGAAGGCCCCGTCATTTTTGGCCAGTGTGCAAAGAAAGGTAAATATTTTCACACGCACCCATCACGAGGATGGACTCTGTCTTCATTAGGGGCGGCCATTGGGGCCAGAGTTCGCGATTGTGCACACAAATCGGGTCAAATTTGCATGGAAGAGTGGCAGAAATGTTTCCACATCCACCAAATCAATATCAATTAGTGTGAATTTGCTAAGCCACGAAAACACACGGGATTGTTCACATTCCAATTGGCCACAGAGGTGAAAGTCTTGCGGTCGGGCGATGATATCAAATGGTAATCATGGGTGTACTTGGAGCATCAAATTCTCATTTCTGGCTGCTCGGCATTTGGGTAGAAACTTCGTCATTCCAACTTGGGCGCTCGTGTAAAATTCATGGGGGAAAGTTTTTCAACAGATGAGCCATCCGGAGAATGAGACAACATGTTTTATTGTTTGGGAAATCACAATCAATTGTATGGCGCGCTCAATTATTCATTTCACTTCTCCATTCATGGGTGAGGAATGCACACACCTCAGGATTCAATGACCTCCGCCTTGGTAGGATGTTTGTGAATGGGCAGAATTCGGTTAGAATTTCAAATGACCTGGGCATCTCGACCATTATACTTATACAAAATTCTCGCAGTACACTTTTTCTCTCTGTGTTGCATGCTCGCCTGCGGAGGTGTGGAGCAGAAACAGGCACTCACCACCTCCCCCCCAACACGCACCCCTTCACACTTCAGCACCCCGTCTGGCCTGTTCGATGTGAAAATTCCATTTTCTCTTCTGTCTCTGTCTCTTTTCAGAGCTCCTCCCGCCTAAAAGCATAACACTGTTAGCAATTCCTCTGTCCTTCAAATGTCTCTGTAACTCACTCCCTCCCCCGTTCGCACTCTCCCGACCCCCTCGTGAAAAGCACGCAATAAATGGCGCCGTTCAAGCTCAAGTTCCGCATGGGCAGCTCCAGGAGCACGTCACAGGAAGCCACAGCGGAGCCGGATGTGGCGCAGGTTCATCAGCAGCCGCTGCTCGGCAGCCAACCCTCTGCGGCCTCCACCACCACCATCGACACGGACAGCCTGGGATCGCTCAGTGGCGACAGCAGAGCTCTGCTCCACAACTCCTCATCCGCCGCCGGACGCATAGGTAAAGTCGCTGGAGGCTGAGCTTCCCTGGCGAGAGAGCATTGGCCGTTGGTGGTTTGAAATTGCCGCGGGGGGTTGCAAATGACTAAATTCAGGCACTCTATCGACTGTCTGCATCCTGTATGCAAAACAGATTGCATGCAAACTCAATTTTCTCATTTTGTATGTCATATGTTTGTGAAATTGGACTAATAATTGCAATAATTGCGAGTTTAATCGGCATAAAAGTGCCTTTTAGATCCGTATCATTTCCTTGTAAGGCTTACGGAAGCAATTTAAAACTTGTATCTGATTCATATCTTACTTTTAAAGACATGGTTGAATTGACTCGAGAATATTACAGTATTTCAACCATAATTTCTGTTACATTCTTCATCATGTTAGCGCATAATACTGTGAAAAACTGTGTTTGCTACATGAAAGCCTATCAGGATGATAGTAATTAAGTGTGTTTTAATCAGTCTAGTTACACATGACTCACAATGGCAAGGGCATGAATAGTGGTGTCAAATATTTTGCTTCAACTATACTTAACCGTCCATGCGCAATATGTTTCCCTCCTGGGGCTTTCATCGCGGCAATTCCAGGAATTTGGAGGATTAAGCCATCCACAAAGGCACCAATTAATTGCGGACAAACCCTTGTTGCTCGGCAGAACCCAACATTTCCCACAAATTAAACGGCATGTAGTCAAAAATGTCCCTCATCCCGCGCGACAATTAACCCACTTTTGCCGCGCAATTCGATTAATCGACCCTTCCCGAAGGCAACAGCTTAATGTTGTGGAATAAATTCATCCTCGTTGACCTACAAACTTGCCACTTTAAGACAGCCCCACGATAAATTGCGTCTAACCTCGTTTCCGGTGCACAAGGGGTGAAGTTGTGTGTGTGTGCGGGAAAAAAGACGAGGAAACTCAAACAGGAGCTCATTTGGAATTTGTGAATTAATCCCTGTGTGTTGTCTCTTGAGCAAAACTCATTTTCCCAGAATTCAGCACAACTCCTGAAACTCATCGGAATGGGAGACATGAGATTAGATGCCTTGAAACCCATAATCCTTAGTGTATTACAAAATTCATGCTCACTCTCTCTCTCTCTCTCCTTCTCTCTCCTGTCTAGGATACGAGAATCCGACACTTCAGCAGCAGAATTTTTCCGATACGGCTTCAGTGAACAGAAACAGCACAGTTCCTCTGAGTCCACCGCCGTCCTATGAACACGTTCTAGAGGAGGTGAGATACCATCGTGAGCACTCGTGCATTCGCCATATGCTCTCAGACGGGATTCAAATGGAGAGCTTTCGCCGAAAAGCTCCTCTCTGTATGGTGAACTCCTAAATTGCCATTTATACATGGAACAATACAGTGAAATGTGACCCATTTCCACTTCACCACATCCTAAATTCAACACAAATTGATGCATATCAATTTGTATTACATAAATTCCTCCCAATTCCCCACACATCATCCGCATTCTCCCCATGGAACTCGCCGTTCGCGGTGCGTAATTGAAAGTTTACCCCCGCGAATGTGGGACAATGCGCACGCCACCCACTGCAAATATGCTGTATTCAATTGAGCAGAGCTGTGGAGGGAATTTGGGTGAATGTTTAAATTCTTTGCCATGACAAATTAATGAGGCTCTGTGTGCGAAATAATTGGGCAAGCGTAGGGGAGAGCGGGCTTAATTGTGCACGCACTTCATCCAGCATCATCATCATGCATTTCTCCATCTCTCTCTCTCTTCCCGTCTAGATATCCAAAATAACGACCCACATGGAAATGTTACAGAATCGCCTCGCGACTCTGGACAAAGACAACAACCCCACGAGCTCCCCCGTCAACTGGACGTACTGCAGCGGCGGCAGCATGAACGAGAACTGCCCGGGCAGCTCGGACTGTCCGCTGGGCGACAGCGAGGAGACGCTGGACTCGCCCATCTACACGTGCTCCACCATCACGACACCCTCGCAGGAGAATCTGCTGACCTGCACGGGCTCCTGCGACCCGCTGTACGCGCACGGCTCCTGCCCGGCCATCCAGGAGGACGGCCAGGAGGGCGAGCAGCCCGAGTGCCAGGCGGAGGTGAGTGAGGACGAGGAGAACAACTCGGACGCCGAGTGGAACTCGCACGAGCACCAGCAGATCCGCATCCAGCTGCCGCCGCAGAGTCCGGAGATCCTGAGCAACAAGAGCAGTAAGGAGCTGTACAAAGCTGTGGCCAAGCAGTACGGGATCGCGTGCGAGATGAGCTCGTCATGCAAATGCTTAGAGTGCGCCTGCCACTATTTTGACTGCGATTTCGATGAGGTGAGTTGCGGTCAAACAGCTCTTACATCATGGCAGTCCTCCTTCTCGTTTACCTTCTTATATCTCGTCATTTGAATGTGAATCCTCTCCGATGTCTGCCATTTCTTATTCTTTCCAGCATTCATTATTTTCCCAAATGCTTTTGGGATGGGAAGATCGTCAGTTCATGAAGCGCCTTGACATTTCATAAAGGCATATGATTGACAAGACCCTATTTTGTGTGAAAAAAAAACCCTCTTGAAATTTGATGCTGACTATTTGTCAACATGAGGTTATTAATTCTGGGTCTTCTCCACTCATAAAATTCCAACCTTTCGCGCTCGCCAATCATCCATCCGTCAAGAAGATTTTAATATCGCCCCCAAGAAATGCGATACTGAAATTCAAGACCTCATCGATTCCCCTTCAATTTCCTCACCAGTCAAGAGACCCGGAAAATTGACGACACGCTCTGCTCTTCCCTTTTCAGAATGACCATCAAAAGACTGATGGCGGACTTAGTGCTGGAACGCCGATGTTCATCAGCGAAGTGATGCACGGATCGGGCTGTAGCATTTTGTAGAGGAAGGCGGAATTTGTCCAAAACATTTTTTGAGAATTTGTCAATGGCCTGCAAGTGAATTAATCAACAAACGATGAAATCAACGGTCATAAGTAAATATTGTATTTAGCGGTTTAAAAGGAGGAGAAAACTGAAGACAAAAAAAGTGTCTCTATATATATATATATTGATATTTATTGAGAAGGGGAGAAATAGTGTAAAACTGCACACATTTTTTTCATAGACAAGGAAGAAAGAAAAAAAAACCGTAATTTCCCGTAAAACAATTGCACAAAGTAAAGACAAGTCTTAAGATATAGAGTATTTGTAAGCCTAACAAAACTCCACTAATCAGGGTGTCCATTTACCAGCGCGAGTGTGGAAGAGGAGACAAATTCTTGTGTGAAAGGCGAGGATAGGAAGAGTGTGTAAACATAAGCACTAGAGAGTCTGTTAGGGATATATTTTTATAGTGAGAAGCTCCGCGAGTTGCAAACTTGGCCAACCGGAGCTCAGCGACTGTTCTGCACTGCAAACTTCTGACCTATGCGAGAGAGTGGTTCTAATAATTGAAGGATGTTGACACAAGACTTGACTGAATACTTGACAACCTTGAACTGTAAGTCATTATTATTGTACAACTTACAAAAAGAGGATAAAGCGTACTCCTGTAGCCACTAATGTTGGCAATAAAGCTCTCTTTCCAGTTGAATTTCACTCACTGCCCATTCCCAAAGTCACCTCACTCTCTCTCTCTCTGTCTAGCGAGACACCCACAACTGAGAAATAGGATCGTCACGTTCTCCCAAACTATCCACCTTCTATAGAAGAGAAATGAAGCCCGCAGTGAAAGAGTTTAGCCTATGTAGAAATTGTAACTGGAGGGAGATTGTAACTAATTTTATAAAATAAAATTTATGTTTGTAAAGACAAACCATGTTTTTCTTCTCTATTCTTCCACTGATGAAGCACCAAAGAATTATAAAGGAAAAAATGCCAGAAGACATCAAACATCAAGGCAAGGAGGAGATAATCCACTTCTGAACACTCACCAAAATTGCCTGACATCTAATTTTAATCAAATTGCAGTGAATTTCTTAAGTTTCCATTCGATATGTCTATAAAAATCTACTTAAGAATGCATTTTTGGACATCTTTTCCAACCATAACCTCAAAAATACAACTAAGAGATCTTCAAAAACTCAGTTTCGAAGCATTCTAGATCATAAAATGATCGGGTTATGATTGGCCAATGAACTCAAAACAGCTGATTCAGAGTCAAAATTGTTCAAAAAGCTTTCTAAATGGCCATTTTCCAAGTCCAAATGACTATTTTTGAGGTTAGACTTGAACATAAGATTTGTTTATGTACCAGAATGCGAATTATTCACTAAATCTGTTCTTTATTTGTTAAATAACCTAGAAAAAAGATTTTTTTAATTATTGATGAAGCATTCAGGAAAGGAATATTGTAATCTTTCGAATACCTTCACTTCTTAAGTACTTCTGCTGATCTGTACACCACTTCTGACTGTATTATCTCCCCCTTGCATCAAGGAACACTAGAAAGTCAGCATTTCGGTTTGAATACGTTTATTTATCTGCAAAGTGTTTTACGATTACAACTGTGTTATATGGATTATTTCATAAGTGTTTTTTTTATTTAAAGAGATATTCTTTACTATAATTAGGGAATAATTCTAAGAGATATTCTATTACATTATTTTTACCTTTTCTCTTTTCTTCTGTATTTTTATAACTTGCTTTGAAAATTCTCTATAATTATTTCAAAAAGGGAGAAAATGAAAACATGGATAAATTTAGTACGTATAATTTTGGAAAAAAATTTTCAGGAACAATTTCACTTAATTCGATTTCCGACATTCTTTCTCTCAAAATTGCTCTATATATATATATCTAAATAACCTTAGGAATAAATTTTGACTTTGATTTTCATTTTACGAATCGAAAAAAACCCCGATTTCATTTAATCTTCCATTCCTTATTTTTTTGATTTTTTCAACAAAAGAAAGGCAACAAAAGTATCGATAGGGAAAATATCTTAAGACAAATGTTTAACATTCAATAAATTCTCACCACTACATTTTCCATCATCTTTTCTTTTTTTATACCTTCTTTTTGAGAATAGTTTTTTTTTTCTTCCTTCGATATGAGAATCATCATCATTCTCTCTCTTTTTCTCTCTTTCTCCACCTTTCTTCACCTCTTCTTTTAATGCAAAGTTTAGCACCATATTTTTTTTCTTTATAAAAAATATGATATTGTTAACTTTCTTATCTATCGTAAGATGGATAATTATTTTTTTTAGCCAATTGTTTCATGTGTTATATTTTGTCCCAATTCTCAAATTTGATGATCTCTCTATAATATAAGAATCCGTGTGTGTATATAACATGAATGTGAATTCGTTCTCAATTCACAAGAAATACTCTAATAACACTTTAGATGCGATGTTAAAAATTTGCTAACTACATTTAATACAAAGTTCATCGCTATGTTTTCTTTCTTTTTTTCCTTTTTCAAAGTGACCAAAGAGAAGGTGAATTTCGTTAACGGAATTCTTATATGTACAGAACTACGACTCTCTGTATACAAATGTATATCATTCAGAAAACACTCACTTTACCGGGAGAGACTAAATAGATTCAGTACTCGATTAGCTCTAAACATACTAACTACAATATGGCAGAATTAATAAGAATCACAATTAAACAAAAATTAATCGATTTCCCAACGTCGCGCTTTTTCCTTTTAGTGCAACATTCACTACACAATTACACTTCTTACATTACTTTATTATTTGTTGTTGTTTTCTTAATATTTCTTTCTTTCTTTTTAAAGATCTCCCAAAAATTCCTGTATTTTATTTTGTGTATTTTTTCCCCATATTTTTTTTTATTATTATTTCTCAATTCAATTCAGTAACAAATGTGGTCTCTTAATAAATCTCTTATTATTCCTTTCTTTACTTAGTTTTTTTATTCTATACTTTCTCTCTCTCCCTCGCTCTTCCTCACTTTCTTCAAGTGGTTATTAAATGCAGTGCATTAATGTCTAATATTTCTTCACTTCAACTTCATCAACAAGTCTTTATAGAAAAAAATGGGGTGATTTTCATCATTAAAAAAAAATGTTTCACTGAAAAAAACTTACTGAATGACTTCAAAATTGAAATGATAAGATATCATAAAATAAACGTTGTCTTCAAATCTATAACGCAAAGAAAATCAATCTCATAGAAATCACTCTTCAAAGTAGATTATTAAATAATTAAAAAAAAACTATACTTCTGACCAAAATTCTATCAACATTGACATCACTAATATTACTAAAACTCCTTTTTTCACCTCTTCTCTCTTCCTCTACTCCTTATCAATTGCCACAAGCCCAGTGTTTTTTCTCTGTTTGTGTGTGTGTGTGAAATTGATATTGAATCTAATATCAACTTATTTACTCTATATTGATATTTACTTTTTAACCATTTTACTCCTGACTATTTCCTTTTACTGTCTCCTCTCTCTCTCTCTCTCTCTCTCTCTCGCGAAATACAACATTATTCTTTACGTATATTTTAACACATTTAGAAATTAAGAAGAAGAAAAAATCTTTACGTAAAAAGATTACACAACCTAAATAAGATTAAAATCCGGAAAATAGTCTGATAAACTTTTTTCTCCTCACTTTCCAATCAACATTTACTACTCCATATATATATATATACATTTACATCCAAATATTTCACCTTACTTTTCTATAAACTTCTCTTTTCTTCTATATGAAACCAGATTCTCTGTGGGTGTTTTCAAAAATTTCTTCAATTCAAAATCTATATATATATATAATTAAAATGGGATGATTTTTCAAAAAAGTATACAAATAACCAACAAACTTAAACTTAAGATCACACTTTTCTGTGATTGCGCTTTTATGTAAAAAAAAAAACGAGAAGTCTCTGGCAATAATTTTTCAAAAAAAAAATTCACTTTTAACAAGCACAAAATCTTCACCAAAATTGCTCTTCCGCTGTTCTAAAAGTATCTTCACAAAAAAAAATTAATTTTTCATACAACCATTATTGCAATTCAAAGAAATAGAAGAAAAAAAGTCGCCCTTTTGTGCGCCGATCAATGGAATCACGGGAAAAAATTGACATTTCATCTCTCTAAATCTTGGGAAGAACACACTCGTGCAGGCGAGAAATCAACGGTTTCTTTTAGTGGGCAGAGAAATGTCCTCTGATCCACTAAAGAATTGTGCTGTAAACTTACGGATAAACGCCTAGGAAGTGCACATATAGCTAAGGTGTTGAGGAACTAGTCGAACTCAATCTGGCGGAAGATACGAGAACAGTCGATATCTGTCACGGATGTGAGGACGAACATCTTCTCTCTGCAAAACAATCAGAAGGATTTCCTCAGGATTAATTGTGAAAATGTGATGCGTAAAAATTACTCACTAAAGCAGCAAGATGCTCCAGAAATGGAAGAATCTTCATCAATTCATTATCGCTTTGGTCCATAAACCAGCTCTCAATGGGAATTCCATTCTCCAGTTGATACCTAATCGTGGGAAATCAGAAGAAAAGTCAGCATCTCTCTAAACACTCCAATTCCACTTATAGTCAAACATACCCAAACGCCTGCGGAGAGTTATCGATGATAATGGTCTTGGATAAGTCTCTCCCGAGGATGGTGAGATCCTTAATGTAATTCCCATTCACGAGGACGCAGTGCTCCCTGAACAGTCGATACCTGTGTGCCAAAGGAAGCCCAGACATTAGTCAGACACACTCAGATATATGTCGCAAGGAATCAACTCACTTGATCCACTTCCTCTCGGGATCCAGCAGATTCAGCAGCTTGTCCGCGTACACTCGCTTGGAGGCCGTGAAGAGGATCACCTCGAAGATCTTCGACACCCTCTCGAGGAACTCACGGAAGAACGGTCTCGTGCGCACGAAGACGGTGTACTTGCAGTCCTGAAACAGCACCGGGAACTTGAAGCTGGCATCCGACAGCTCTTGCAGGCTGCAGTGCACCAGCGTCTCGTCCAGATCCAGCACCAAACTGAACTCCGGACTCGAGCGCGTCTTCAGCGGCAACGCCGGACACTTGGCGCGCATGTCACCAGTGAGCGGCGGCAGTTGCTTGATGAAGACGTACGGATCGAAAGTGGTCCACGTGAGGTTCTCATGACGATGATCAGGCACATCCTCGATCTCCATGCACTCGTCCGTCTCCAGCTGCAGTGGCTCATCAGGCGGCGGCTCGGGGGCGCTCTGGATGAGCGCGTCCGCGTCCATTGGGCGCGGCAGCGTGATGCTGGACAGGAAGTTCGTGTGCGTCTGCAGATTGGACAGCGCCTTGAGGTTGTCCATGGCACTTTGACTCATTGACTGCATGAAGATGGCATCGGACATCGCGCTGGTGTCCATTCCGCCCGCCACTGGGAAGCACGAGGACGTCGCGGCGCCATCCACACCCATCAGAGGCCCCGGACACCCGAGGCCGGCGTCTGTGCTGCAGCTGAGCAGCGCCTGCGTGAGCAGCGTGTTGTAGGGCAGAAAGTCCGTGTACTGGGTGAAGTCAGGAGTGATCTTGCTCATCTCCTCGTCGAACAGCGACAGCCAGTCGGGCGTTGTCGTGTGATACATCGGCGGCTGCAGGCCGGGCGCCATGGAAGTCGCAGGGAATTGCTTGCTGAAGTCTGTCGTGGCGAAGGTCGTGGCAAACGATGTCATGGGAAGTGTCAGTTTGGGCAGGTCCCTGCCCTTGCGCACCGCCAAGCCAGAGTCGCACTCCGGCATGAGATCTGTCGTGGAATCCACCTCAGGCACGACTGTGTCCAGATTCCCAGACAGCAGCGCGCCCTGTGAGGACGACGAGGAGCTGTGCGACGGCGACGAAGACACAGAAGTCGACGATGTGGGCAACACGTCGAGATTCTGCTCGTAATCCGTCGTGCTGTCGCACTCGCTGATGCACTTTACCATCTGACTCACGGCGCCCGCGAAGCTGAACGGCGGATTGGCGGATTGCGTGGGCTCCTCCTCCTCTTCCTCCTCACCTTCCGGCCCGCAAACGATGCACGACGTGGAGGAAATCCCACCGCTGGAGCCCACATTGGCATTCTCCTTGTCATCCTCACTCGGCAAGACGATCGGCTGGAAGCGATTCAGCGCATCGCCCGGCGATCCGATGTCCACCTCACTCTCTGGCATCTCCGCGCCGTCGCATCGCTCCAGCTTCGCCTCGAACAGCGTCACCTCCGAATCCTGCCAGCAATTCTCCTTGCACTCCTCAGACAGCTTCCTGGAGCACGCCATCGACTTCCTGCCGCGTCTCACGCGCGCCTTCTCGCCGCTATTGCACTTGATCGCGCGCGCCGTCACGCGACGGCATCTCTTCTGCCGGAAGCTCTTGGGGCGCCGCGCGCTGTGGAGCTTCGGCGTGCCATTGCGACTGGATGTGCACGCTCGCCGCAGACGCAGCTCGCGACGCTCGCTCCTCAGCCACATGGCTGCGCTTAGAGAGTCTCTTCAAGCGATGAGAACGTGCGGAATCCTGGAAGAGATCACGTCGTGATATTTTTCAATATTCTAATCAGTCAGAAGGATTTTTTGATGCCAGAATGAAGAATTAGGGCGGAAGCGAGAGAGAATCATAAAATTTAGGAAGAAAATCAATGGAATTCAGAAGGATAAATCTGTATCTCGGATCAGAAGTGAGAATCTTATTGGCCAGTCTGCCTAGAATTCGATCCTCTTCAACAGTTGTGATTTCAAAGTACACATAAATCGTGGGTCATCCCAAAAATCCCAACTTTCACAGCCAAACTCTTCTTGCGCTCTATCAATCTTTCTCTCTCACCATGGAAAATCGCGGAAAAGCGTGTCAACTTTCCAATGCGCCGAGAAACTTTCACCTCAACCCGTATTTTATCACACACATCGCGAAGCATGGCGGAAATTCCTCTGCGCCGAGGGAGAATTTTCCCTCTTCTTTCGCCATTATTATCTTGGAGTTGCGTAACCGCCGAGAATAGTTGACGGTTCTCGTCGCGGGGCGGCAGGTGAGTCACCCTGTGGTGGAGAGCGAGAGCAATATGGCGCACTTTCTCTCTCGCCAGAGAGCGAAAAGTGGACTAAAGAGGAACAACAAAAATCAAAATCGCGCCACTGGGAGCGGTGGTGGGAAAGAGATGGCCGCATGCGCGCCACGGTGTGCTAGAGAGGGAGAGGGAGTGCGAAAAGTTTTCACTGATGGAGAGAGAGCGAGCGCCTTTTCCGCCGCTTTTCCCACCCCATCCGCCGCCCCTGTGGAAAATTCCCTCTCGGACGCCCCTCGGCGCATTCCCGGACGCCTCGACATCATGCAAAAACTTGTTTACTCGTTGCGTAACGAACGGAATTCCAGGGATATCGATCCAGGAAATTCCGCAACACTACCCACGGGTGGCATTCTGCACCCCCGGCGGCCCCAGTGGGGCTCCGCGACTCTTCTCTCTCGCTCCCACTCGTGACGTCATGACGAAATTTTCTATTCCGATTGCAGAAATCACAGAGTAGGCGGGTTTTCACTGTGGATGTTTTGTTGTATGGCTTCAAAACAAATTGCAAAACACGCTTCGGTCGCCGATGGGGCGCAAAATGTCCTGATCGGGGCGTCTGGCGCCACGACAGTCGCCTATGGGGACATGGAAGCCGCCCTGAGGACCGCAAAAATGGGAGAAATCTCAGGACAACCGATTTTCATGAGATTTTGCCGCGCGAGTTGTGAGCAGAGAAACCCACTTTTCTGCACCTTTTCAGTCACCCACAACACCTGTAGACACCCGGGCATTTACCTGAGCACAGATTAATTGCACTGGAGATGAGAAACACACATTTTAGCGGAATTTTTCAGGGAAAAAAGTCGCACCGAACGAATTTACGTCTATTACTAAGATGGCGTCGCGTGTTTTTATCATCGGGAATTCTTGCGACCAACTTCACGGCTTTTCCCCTCCACGTCGCGGCCATTGGAAAAAAGTTCCGAAAGCGGGGAAGGCGAGACACAACCTCACAAACTGCGATGCTTTGTAAACACGTCTATATTTCTCTCAATTTCTAGTATCTCTCAGCGTCAGGGTGCATCATCCCGTGCAGATCCGAGGGCGAGCGGAAGTAGTTGTACAGGAGGATGGTTTTCCGCCCCCGAATCTTGTAGCGAAGTGACGCCCACAGCATTCCTCTGGGTGGAACTTGTACAACGTCTCCCTTGGAGTACTCTAGAATTTCATTTCTGTACGGCACTTTCCAAGTGTAAATGGCCAAATATCTGCAAAAAGAACTCTTTAGTTTTCTACATTTCCAACCGTCACCTTTTCTTGAGCCTCACTTCTCTCCGTTTTGGTAGATTCGCAGTGGAAAACGATTCAGAGTTACCCGCAAAATGCCATTAAAGATAATGAAAAAGCCACACATCACGACGACTTCGCTCAGATTGCTGGTACCTGGACCCAACTCTTGGGCTTCTATTTGCTCATTAGTACCGAGAAAGTAGTGTCCGGTGATAAGCCAGTGAGCCAGGAAAATCCCAATCACAGTGAAGCTTACAGTCGTGATCCAAGTCATTGCAGACACGTAATTGTACATGGGATTCCTGTAGATCAGCGTCCAATGACTAGGAAGCTTATCCATGTTGCGAATCTTCTCCTCATTCCACTTTTTCCGCTGAATATGCTGAAAGATGCCCAAAGTTTTGGACGTGTGAAGAAATTCGCTGCAAAACACATAAATGAGAAAAAATGAGATGAAATGGAGGTTTTTGGGGTGTGTCACTCACAATCTCTGGTAGGTAAAGCTTCCTAGAGTCTGTGGGAATCTCCTGGCGAGGGTACATCGTGTGATGATGGACAAACCGGCTAGAATTCTCATGATTATCAGCCATAAACACGCCAAACTGTTCGTGTTGTCAAAATTTCGGAAAACGATCAGCTGATAAAATGACTTCGGTGGTGGAAAAGGCAGTGGAAAATCTTGCGAGAAATGATGTGGAAATCTTCCGTGTGAGTGTTGAGATCCTCCTGAGGCTGCTGGACAATGTGATCTGTGAACCGAAGAACCTGAAGTACCGGACAATTCGTCTGGAGAACAAGACGATCAAGGAGAAATTGCTCGTCCTCGATGGCATGAAGGATCTGCTGCTGGCGCTGGGATTTGAGGAGGATGGCCGAGGTGCTCTCACGCTGTCCACGAAGGTCCTGGTGGGCAGCCTCAAGAAGTACCGCGCCCTCGTCCAGGAGACTCTGCAGAGTGTGGCCAAGGCGGAAGAAAATGCAGAGTCATCTTCGGCGAAATACCACCGCCCAGTGTACGGGAAGCCCAGGAAGCCGCTGCCCAGTGATGGGCAGAGTGTCGTTGAGACTGGGAACGCCTTCCTCAGGGAAATTGAGAACAGATCCAAGCTGGTGATGACGTATGAGGATGAGGATCTGCAGGAGTTCGGCAGGAGTTGCATTCCAACTGAGAAACTGCGTCTGCAGACGCTGGAGAAGCTGCGACAGATTCAGAAGGCCATCCGAGGAGGCGCCTGGCAAGAGCCAGAGCCAGTCTACGAGGATCTGTTCCTCGTGGAATTCACCGAGTGGTTCAACACCTCCTTCTTCACCTGGATTAATCAGATTCCATGCAAAGTGTGCCATCAGCAGGCCAGAGGACGCCAATCCGCCAGCGTGGAGAACGGGATCCGCGTGGAGGAGCTGCACTGCTGCTCCACGGTCACTCGCTTCTACCGCTACGAGGACGTGGCCACGCTCCTGACCACGCGCGTCGGAAGATGCGGAGAGTACGCCAATTGCTTCACATTCCTCTGTCGCTGCCTGGGCTACGAGGCGCGCTACGTCCTGGCCACCTTTGACCACGTGTGGACGGAAGTGTACTCGCCCACGCAGAAGCGCTGGCTCCACGTCGATCCCTCGGACAACGTCGTGGACGCGCCGCTGATGTATCAGCACGGCTGGAAGAGGACCGTTGACTACGTGACCGCCCACTCGAGGGACGACGTCCAGGACGTCACGTGGCGATACTGCAATGACCACTCGCAGCTGCTGAGGCGCAGGAACAAGTGTCCGGAGGATGAGCTGCTCCGAGTGCTGCTCAGAATCCGGGAGAAGAAGCAGAAGCTCTGCTCTGAGACCAGAAAGAAGTGTCTGGCCAAGAGGACGCTGGCCGAGCTGGTGGAGTTTATGGCGCAGCGAGATCCGACAGTGGACGAGCTGAAGGGCAGATCGTCAGGGAGCCTGGCTTGGAGGCAATCGCGAGGAGAACAGCTGTCCAGCGCCTTTTTCACCTTCGGCGCCACTGAAGAGGACAAGCGGCTGAAGCAATTCAACCTGCGATACTCCTGCTCGCGCGATGTGTACGAGAAGTACCACAAGGGTCCTGGCCAGGAAACCAGAGTGACAGAGAGCATGAAAGCCTGGAGCACTTGTCAGTATTCGTCACGCAATGTGTTCAGGAAGGTTGAGCACGACTGGAAGATGACCTACTTGGCGAGAACGGAGGACACCAGCGAAGCCTCCATTGAGTGGAGATTCGACTTCACTGCGCAGGATCTGCGGATCTCCAGCGTCTTCATCAACTTCGAGTCGAAAGTCTACGAGAACGGCAGGATTTCTCTGCTCTTCATGAACGAAAGCGGTGAGTAGATCGACTCTCCTCACTGTCCTTGAATTTTGGCAGCAATTTCTCTGTTCCTCTTCGCAGGCGAGATTGTCCGGGACGTGCTGAAGCTGAGGAACTCCCGGAAGTTTGTCGTGAAGGCGGTTCTGAGTGGCGGAAAAGGCGACGTCGCCTGGCAACACACGCAGTTGTTCAGACAGGAGCTGCACTGTCCCAAATATCCTTTTGAGCTCTGCATAAACTTCTTCTAATGTGATTCTTGCACACTTTCCAAGGATTTATTTGACGAATTCCAAGATTTCGGAGATTGCGAAATAAAATATTTGGACGCGAAAGAAAATTTTAGTTAATGCTTTGCTGTGTCGAAAAAATATATTGGAAAATTCATCTAGTTTCACTTCTCTTTTACTCGCTTCGTTTCTGTTTATATCAGAAATTGTTTAATTCATTCTTTGGCTGCATGTTTAACTTGCAGAAGAAAACAAATTTGAGCACAAAACCTGGAGAAAAATGGAGACGCTTTAGTTGAAATCTTACTCTTGGACGGAAATCGGCGCTGTGTCTTGAATCTTATATTCTTCCTTAACAAAGCTTTCCGGGTCTTCCTGCTCATCCTTGATCGCGATCTCTTGATCCATCTCTTCGTCGTTTGGGAAAACTTGAGAAAACTAATGAACGCGTTCCGCTATGCGTCGTCGCGAAAATGATCGTGTAGAGCAACTGACCCTATAGCAAAACGTTCATCTGCTTTGGAACGAAAAGGAAAACTTCACTGAAGATCTGTTGAGGGAGTGAAATTAAAAGACTTTCCGCAGACGCTTCTTGGAGGGAAATTGCGTACGGCGAAATGTGGCGAAATCAGCTGACTTCCCCTCCCTTTGTGAATTGTTTTTATGCCTGAAGAAAAAGAGGCGTCAGAGTGGGAAAATCGGGCAAATTCTCGTTTTGTTGCATAATTCGACACTCTAACACGCAGTGGCATGGCACAGAAGGTGTTGTCATTCCTCAGGAGGATCTCAGAGTCTGACAGCGGCATGGCAGCGCCGTCAACATCGAGAGACTCAGTTCCGGTGGCGAAGGAGGCGCTTCTGTGCGATCTGGGCTATCAGGATACTAACGATCTCAGAGACACGATCTACGGTGAGTCCTTGTGTGCCTTGCCTAGTGGAATTGGCGGAAAATTATGGGGATTCTCTGCAGATTTCCTGCGCACAATCCGCGATCCGGAGAAGCCACAAACACTGGAGGACTTGAATGTGGTCTACGAGGATGGGATCTTCGTTCAGGAGCCCACAGAGAACAACGTTCAGGTGGTGCGGGTGGAGTTCAACCCCACTGTGCCTCACTGCTCCCTCGCCACGCTCATCGGGCTGTGCATTCGCGTGAAGATCGAGCGGAGCATTCAGCACAGGCTCAAGCTGGACATCTTCATCAAGAAGGGAGCGCACGCCACGGAGGAGGAGAGTGAGTATTGCCTATTGACAGCCATAAATAACTCCCATAAGCTAATATTTGCGCCTCTCTTTGGCCAGTAAACAAACAAATCAACGATAAGGAACGAATCGCGGCCGCGATGGAGAACCCAAATTTGCGCGAACTCGTGGAGAAATGCATCAGTGAAGAGGAATAATCTCAGTTTGTAGAGCAAGTAGGTTTATTTTTGTACCCATAAATCACCCAGAGTCTTCAAGACCAAGGCAGACTTTATTCTGAGCGATCCGGGAGTTGTTATTTACATACTAAGTGACTTTCGAGTGTGCTTCTCAACACCGGATGCCAGTTCCTATCGCCATGAAGGTGCCGAATGTGCCTCCGCCCTGCAGCATCACCTTCCCAACGTTGTTTATCAGTTCTCTGCCGCGCAAGCCGTATCTGGAATGGGCAAAGATGATTCAGTTTCCCGGAAGATTGCACAACATAACCTGACTTTTGACGGTCTACCTGAGGGCGGAGAAGCCACCGAAGAGTGCTCCACTGGCTAAGCCGACGCAGAAGCCAATCCCGAAGCCTGTCTTCATCTTGTCGAAGCAGGAAGGGCCAGAAGATGACTGGTAAACGCCTGAAGGCAGAGGCATGATGCAAGCTGGTATTTTTCACGCTCTTTCTCTGGAAACTCTCTCAAATTGTAGAAATTCTCAGTGTCGCCAAGCTTGAGAAACTGTCCAGAAGTGACTCCACAGGTTTTCTAACTGTTTCTGTGTAGTAATTGCCGGGAAAATGCGATTTCGCAGGAATTTTTGATGTTTTCTGATGGCGAATGTGTAACTCAAGTTCGCCGCCACGAGAGACGCTCACGGCACTCCAAGGCAGCCAACAAAGTGGGCGGCGAGGAGATAAAAACAACGGAAAAACCGTAATTCTTTCACTTTCCAGTGTGAGTTAGCAGAGGAAGTTTCTGGAGATTTATCCCCGTCATCGTTGCCCAGTGCAGCTAGAGAAAACTACCATCATCTCTTTGGTGAGTGAGGCTTTAAGTAATCTTGAAAAATCCCAATAATCCATTGAAATTCTGTCGAAAAAGTACAATTGCGAGAGGGAAGAAGATTTTCTAGTCGCCCAGGAATCCATATTTAGTTGCAACTCTGTGATTTTCCGGGGATAATCTTGGGAAAAGTGGGTTCACATGTGCCTGGATACTGAGTGTGATCTTTTGTCTGGGATTTTCAGTGGATACCAGCTTGATATCAGAGAAAATGCCAGGACTTGAGGCCACACCAGCTGCTCTTCCTTCTTCCCTTCCGGAAGGGAATTACACGATCATCGGCGTGGACATCGACACGACGGGGCGGCGCCTCATCGACGAGATCGTCCACTTGGCCGCGTACACGCCAGAGCAGGAGTTCTCGCAGTACGTGATGCCGTACATGAACCTCAATCCGGCGGCCAGGCAGCGCCACCAGGTGCGCGTGATCACCATCGGCTTCTTCCGCATGCTGAAGTGCATGCAGACGTACAGGGTGATGAAGACCACGCCCGAGTACGCGGCCATGGTGCGCTTCATGCAGTGGCTGGAGGAGCAGAAGGACGCCCGGGCGGAGTGCGAGGGGCTGATCTTGTTGTACCACGAGCAGAGGAATTTCGTGCCCTACATGATCCTCGAGGCCGTCAAGAAGTGAGTACAATGGGACAGTTATCTCAGCACTCTGTGGCCTAACGGTCGCGTGCGTGGACAAAGGAGGGATTATCTCTGATGCATTGATCTATTTCCACAGATACGACATGATGGAGAGGTTCGAGCGCAGCGTGAAGGGCTTCGCCAACATGTACAGTCTGGCGGAGAAGGAGTGCGGCGCCACGCTGAAGTACTTCACGCTCAGGGAGCTGTCCAAGGTGATCCTGAACTCGCAAGAGGACGACAAGAACGAGTTCGAGGGCAGCGCGAAGGTGCGTGCGAAGCTCACGTACGAAGTGGCGCGCGTGCTGGCCAACAAGAGGGATCAGGTCAAGGTGGAGTCCCAGGAGGGCGACGCGCCGCAGGAGATCGGCCTGACCGAGAGGACGGAGGCGGAGAAGAGCGCCGTGTTTCACAGCGTGATCTTGGGCATGAGCACGAGTGTGGCGGATAATGTGCAGGAGCTGAGCGGACAGCAGACGATCCTGGACAGGCAGAACTCGCTCAGGTCCATCTTCATCAACTACTTCAAGACCACGCTGTACCACCGCGTGAAGGGCGTGACGTACCGACGCGTCCTGGCGGAGCAGGGCTACGACATGGACAAGCTGCAGGACATCTGGACGCGCGAGAAGCGCGACGGTGTGCAGGCGGCCGTGGAGAAGCTGGAGGAGCTCAAGGAGGAGGACAAGACGGAGCTCACGGAACTCCTCGACTGCCACTTCGATCCCGACAAGCAGCCCATCAAGCCGGCAACGAAGAAGCCCAACAAGCGCCGCTTCCAGACGCGCCGCACTCGCAGAATGTCTCGTAAGTGGGAAAAGCTTCCCTTTAACCCTCGTTAGAGGCGGAAAAGCGGTGTTTTTATGGGATTCAGATTAAAATTTAAATCCTTATCGCATTCCAATTGGAATCTTGCATGCTGATTAATTGAAGTGCAGAATATTTCACCTTAAAAAAGACCCTTTTTTAATTGTGCTGATATTCAGGGAAATTCAGTGATTTTTTAGCGTTCTTAATCAGCTTCAAAGCTGTGGAACTGTTAAAAATCAATGCAATTTAAGAGTCTTTATCTTCAGAATAGTTCTTTGATTATTTCTAATGGCGAATTCGCTCTCTTGTCTCTGCAGCAGCGCGTTCGATGCCGCGGCGAAGGAAGAGCAACGGGCACAACGGCGGTCAGCAGCACGGCCAGAATGGTCTTGAGCATCACCAGAACAATCGAGGCAACAACCGCGGCGGGAATCACAGCCGTGGAACGCCGCAGAAGCAGCGAATGCAGCAGGACTTCAGCCACGCGGCGCTCGCGGACAGCGTGGCGATGAATCATCACCACGTGGGCCAGATGGCTTCCTAAGTTGTCCTTCTCGCTGTGTTGCTGTGGACGAAACACTCCCGGACGAACAGAGGAAACGACGCGGAAGAGCGACAATGCGCAATGATAAAGGATTTTGATATCGTGAAGGGAAAATTCTAGTGTCGATGAATTGATATTAATAATGCGAGTGATGAATTTAAAAGGATATTTTGAAAGAAGAGAGCGCGGGATGAATTTCGTGGTATTGAAACTATTTTAATTTTACTGCCATTGATTTGTTCTTGAGGCAAATCATTCTGTGGTAAAGAAAAAAGGCATTTGTGATTGAGATGTGAATAATTCTAAGAATTTAGCACTTTTTCCTTATTCAATTCAATCTGCAGAGAGATTTGAATAGATTTTTTTGTTGATGTATCAGAAGAAATGGAAATATTGTGGATTGTAGGGGAAATGCTTGATAATTAACATTGCGATGATGAAATTATTTGTATGGAATTATCGGAGGAAAACACATTTGTATATTGATGGAAATGTTAATGGAAAAAAATAGAGATTTTGCTTGAGAACTAAAAGTCAGAGTGTTTTATTTACATCTGCAGGTCAGGAAATTACAGCCCAAGAAGATTCTCGTTGTCAAAGATCGAAGAAAGCTTTAGTTGTTCGTATTAAGAGGAAATTTATTGTGCAATGAGGTGTAGAATATTGAAAGCGCGATGTTGAAATTTTGCTTGGAAGACCGAAACGCGCGTAATTTATTGGCATTCGCCGAGCAGCGCTCGAGGTCTGCTGTGGCTGTGCACAAAACTAGGCGTGACAGTTTTTGCTCAACTTTCCAAGTGAAAGGTTGGTTTTTCTCTCCTCTGCGCGTGGAAAAGTGCAATTTTCTTGAAGTGTGCGATTGCCTGTGTGTTTTCGTCTGCCGAAGAAGCTGGCTTGGGACTCGCAGGAGCAATTTGATAAGGAGTGGGATGCTGTCATTGCCCTGACGAAGCGTGCTCAGTACTTGATGTCCTCCAGCAGGATTGAGAATCTCACCCGGGAGGTCCGGGAGGCGATCTACACGGCGGCCAGGGATGGGATGGCCATCTTCCTGTTCGACATGCTGTCCAGGATCCGTCCGCGCGAGATGCAGAACATCATTGTGAACCAGGTGAGCGCGCAGGGCTTCCGGGAAGCATCCGCGGACGTCTTTGTTGGCGGCCGCCTTTGTCCGCGAATTGCGCGTCTTCGCAGCATCCCAGGGCTATTTTTAGCGCCCCGCGACGCCACACAATGACTCCACGGCGTGCGAATCCCATCTTGGGTGGACAAAGATCAGGAGAGACGCACTGGCTTGCGGCGCAGAAGCACGAGGAAGTGACCTTGACACCGAAACGCCCGCCCACGCGCCACAGTCAATGCCCTGTGCGTGCAAATTCTGCCTTCCGGAGTCCTCTGGGGCCAAGCGCCGCTGCCCAGTGGCCAAGAATAGCACGCGCTCGCCTTTGTCTCGTGCTCACACTCTCGGCTCTCTTGCAGGGCTTCCCCACGGACCACGGCCAGTGCCTGAGCCCCTTCATGGCGGCGGCGCTGCACGGCCAGGCGCACGTCCTCACGATGATGCTGGAGAAGTTCGACCCGGACGTGGAGGGCGAGTGTCCAGTGATCTACGATGGGACGCTGATCGAGGGCGCCACGGCGCTCTGGTGCGCAGCCGGAGGAGGTGAGACGCGCGAGGATCTTTATAAATAGGACTGATTGAGTAAGATTGATTGAGAGCCGTTACGAAACACTCTCAGTTTCCGCATCCCAGCTTTGCACTGCAATCCATCTGGAGACTTTAGCGGCGAAATCCGACCACAGGGCGAGGGGAAAAGAAATTGTGCCAAGAGTGCCTTCTCAAGGACTCGAAATTTATTGAGAAAATCGATAATATCTCAAGAGCAAAGCTATGAAGATTGATGAAAATTTGATTCTGGGACTAGAAGTTTGCAGGAATTTGTGCTGATAACTGAAGAATAGGTAGAAAAAGCCTCAAAATTCACTAAATAGTTCCATTTTAAGGGAATTTTTGATTGATTCTCTTGTGAATTTATGCGATTTCCCCATTTTTCACGCTTATTTTGCCGCAGAAAGAAGATTTTTCGTTTCGATGTAATTTTTTTCATTTCCTTTTGATTTTGTTACTCATTGTGAAGTTCACAGATTCCGCCTTGCTTCCCAAGAATCTCAGCTGTCTTGGTGCTAAAGTGCTGTCGGTCGTTTGTCTCCTTACAAGAAAGATTTCTTTATTCTGCTGATAAAACTGTGAATTCCCAGAGAGCGAACGGAGAGTTCCTCTCGAGGAGGTGATCAAGACTTTATTTTGGGATCATTTCTCATTCTGAATGGCTCTTTATATCTCTCACTGCCGCTCATTATTCCCATTTATAACGTGCAATTTGGACAACTATGATATTTACTGCGCACTGAAGATGAGTGAATCCGTCAGCAACTGCGTTGTCTTACGGCTTCCTTCCTCGCAGGTCACCTGGAGTGCGTGAAGCTGCTGGTGCGCGCCAAGGCGAACGTGAATCACTGGACGAAGACGCACTCGACGCCAGTGCGCGCCGCTTGCTTCATCGGTGAGTGGCAACGATGGTGGGGCGCGCCAGATGCGCGGCAGTGACTCGAGTGGCTATTTTCAGGGCGGCTGGACATCATCAAGTATCTGGTGGCGCGCGGCGCCTTCGTGGCCGTGCCGAACGTGTACAACAACACCTGTCTGATGATCGCGGCGCACCGCGGCCACACGGAGGTGGTGGAGTACCTGCTCGCCGACGGCATGGATCCCAACAAGCAGGCGCGCTGCGGCGCCACGGCGCTCCACTATGCCGCCGAGAGTGGCCACATGGAGATCTGCGAGATGCTGCTCGAGCGCGCAGCCGTGATCAAGGAGAATGAATACGGTGAGATTCGAGGCGCAGGAATGCTGCGGAATTATATCGACGATCTTGACACTATATTATTAATTTTTTAATAACTTGGCACTGAAGAGTCACAGACAGAGGCTATTTTCGTTCGGGAGTCCCTTGAGTGTTGATGTGCGTCTTGTTTGTTTTCATTCGGGGAAAACATGCCATCGCATTGGCTCACGTGGCGCGTAGTTTTACAGTGAAAGAAGTAGAAATGAGACTCACGAAGCTGACAAATCGGGGGGGGGGGGGGATTTTGTTGTTTGTGTTGAAAAGAGCTGAATCTACAATCATTTTCAGGCTTGACTCCTGTTCTCTTGGCGGCTGAGAAGGCGCACGGCGCCACCGTGGGCATTTTCCTGAATCACCCGGAATTGCTGACTGTGGAGCAGAAGATTGAGGCGCTGGAATTGCTGGGCGCCTCTTATGCGGCCAGTGAGAAGAACAGAGAGAGTCAGCTCACTGCCTTCACTTATTTGCTCACGGCCATGGAGATGCGCCACGCTGATCCAGACACGGTGCTGCGCAAGACGCTGGACGCCCCAAATCCTGCCTATGACAACTGGGTGGAGTGCCAGACTGTGGCCGAAGTGCAGGCGATTCGCTTCAACAGCAACTCCATGTCCATGGAGGCACTGGCCATCAGAGAGCGCATCCTGGGCACAAAGTTCCCGGATCTCGTGTCGCCAGTGATTTACCAGGGCGCGATTTGTGCGGATCACGGGCGGTTTGATCGGTGTGAGAATCTGTGGCATCACGCGCTCTTCCTGCGGCAGAGCAATGGCATTCCTGTGGCGAAGGATCTGCAGCGATTTGCGCAACTCTTCGCGCAGATGCACTCCATGCGATTGCCACTGAGTCTGCCCAGTCTGATCACTGTGCTGAGCTCGTGCGTGGTGGAGATGGCCAGGGTGACGAAGAGGATCAATGCGATTGAGTCCAAGGATGAGAATGAGGAGATCATCGAGGAAGTGGACTCGAACATTCTCTCGGCGCTGTACTTAATCTGTCTGATCACGAAGGTGCTGAAGACCAGGAAGCCCGTCGATCCGCAGGATCTCAGCCAGGTGTACAAGCTGGTGCGCGAGGTGGTGAGCATGGACATGCGCTTCCAGGACGGACAGACTCTCCTCCATTTGGCCTCCAACGCCTGCGTTCCAGTGGATGAGTTCCGCACCAGGGATTTGTGCGGGTGAGTACAGTGACACAATGGCAATCGAGGGAGTTTGCTAACACTTCTTGGTCAGTTTCCCATGTCCGGACACCGTGAAACTGCTGCTGCACTGCGGAGCGCCGGCGAATGATGTGGATTTTGACCGCAACAACGTTCTGCACATCCTCATCGGCACGGTAAGAGTGGTTTTGATCTTCTGGTGGCATTTTTCAGTCACTGTTTCGCCCTTTCAGGTCAGAGATCCGCCACCGAGACACTCGATTCTCACTGTGGAGTACATCCTGAGTCGCCTGATCGGCGCCGGAGCGCACGTGGATGCCGTGAATGAGTGCGGAACCACTGCCAGGGAGTCAACGCACTCCAGTAAGTGAATTTCGTGGCATAAATCCTTGATTAACACGCAGGAATTACGCTGTCTTCTCCTCCGCAGAGCTCATCCAGGGCATCGTGCGCTCGTACGAGGTCAGGGAGACGCGGCTGGCGTGTCTGGCGGCGCGGCGCATCGGGCGCAGCAGGATCGAGTACAAGGGCATCGTGCCGCGGCATCTGGAGCCCTTCATCGAGATGCACTGCTCAGACATGCTGTCGCGCAGCGACTAAGAACTGTTTTCTCTCATCTTCTCTCTTCCTGCCAATCTGTGACGGGTTTCTTCGCGACCGAGACTGTGAATTGGGTTCCTGGCGAGCTTCCAAGGCGAGAGATGCGCCGCGCGGCAAGTTGTCTCTGAACACTTTTATCTCATGAGTTGTTCTTTTTTGTCCAAAATTTCGATTGGAAGTGAAATTTTGCGGAAAAAATAGGGAATTTTTCTCCTTTTTTTCTCTTTTCATACAAAGTGTGTGTGATATAAGATATTTAAGTAAGTTTTTATAAGGTTATAAAGTGGAGGTTTTTTCATTAGAGAGGAATTTTATGGTGCTTGAAAAAGTGGAGGGTTTTTTGTATAAATGGAAAAGTTAAATGACAGTTTGTTTCTCGGACGTTTGTTAACGTGATTTTTAAAGATATGAGCTTATAAGAGAGTTTCAGACATATTTTTAGATGAAATATTTAAAGAATAGTGAAAATATTACTTTTCGATCAATTTTTATACAATCAATCTTAGAAAATTGAGATGTGCCAAAGATTCTTTCGACTTCTAATAAATTTTTTTTCTCATTTCACTGTTGACAAAATACGTATAAAATAAGTTACTTAAACAAGACTGCTTTTACGTAAAAAAAAAATGACAAAGAGTTCAATTGGTTGTCAAATTTAAGTGAAGAACATTTTATAAAAAAAAATAAATAACTCTAAATAAAATGCCAGAAGTGAAAATTTATTGAAGACTTCCAGAGACTTCGTACTTTATGTACACCGCAAATGTGCACTGCAATCTCGCCTTGGAATGATGGAATGATCTTAAATTAATCTCTAGATTTTATTAAGTGACACTTTTTTGTATCTTCACACACTAGTTTTACGAGTTTTACTATATATAAAAAAAAACATTTAAAAAATCAACATGTAAATGATTATTTAATAACTTCGTTTGTGATATGTAACTATTCAATTAAAGGGGTTTATTTTGTATACAAAAGATTGTCCTTCTTGTTAGAACTTGTCCGTCTTTATTTCTCACTGCCGGAGTCTCTTGGGAAAATACAATAAATATCCTCTGCTTATGCTCTACAACACTCACACAAACACACTGGTTATGGCACACTGACTTGTGGTTAATCGTGATTCTCACTCGTGGAAATATCTACACAATAACGGGAAAAAGCGGTTAGGAAGAAGCCTTTTTACACTATTCGCTTTCCTCATAAGCTCGTCGTGGCCTGCAGCTTGAAGTAGCGATTGTTGTGGTTCTCGGCGTCCTGGCAGCCGGCGGCGACGCCGTTCCCGGACGCCGTGTAGCACGTGGCCACGGTGGGCGCGTGGCGGCTCTGCTTGAGCTTCGTGGCGCCCCAGATCAGCACAATGACGCTCATGATGAGCACACCAAGCGCCAGGCCGGGCAGGAAGCTCTTGTTGATGTGCACGTTGTTGAAGAAGGCCACCGTTTGGTTCTCAACTAGCGTCTTCGCCTCGCTGTCGCCGGTGGCGTTCTCTTCCGGCACCAGCAACTCCTCGGCCGCCGAGACGCGGTCGAAGGTGGAGAGATCCGAGGGTGGCGGCGTGGTTGGCATGAGGCGCGTGATGTTGGAACAGCCCACCACGAGCTCAGACTGCCCACCCTTCTCCTTCAGCAGCACCAGGCAGAAGCGGTAACTATCGCCGACGATCAGGGCGGAACTGTCGGCCAGATTCACACTCACGACACTCTCGTCCGACCCCAAACGCTCGCAGTGGATCTGCAAGGACGGGAATTGCGTTACTCAGCTGAAAGCACTCTCAAAGAGATTAATTGCTCACCGGTGAGTGATCAAGGAGAATCTCATGAATATTGGTCTCTTTGTACACGAAGATTGCGTCGCAGCTGTATTCGCTGACCAGGATGTTCCACGTGAGCGAGAGACTGTAGTCCGGCTGCAGCTTCAGCTCTCTGAGCGTGATCTGTGGAGACAATTTCCCATAAATCAACAAACTCGCCAGTGATTAGATGACAAACTCACCACATCGCTCAAGTCCTTGATGTGACTCGAGCTGCTGTTCTTGGACATCGTCTCCAGCTGATCCAGAACATTGCTGTTGTCGAACTCTCCGTCGCTCGCTTCGCAGCTCAGCGACTCCACGGGCACCTGGAGCAGCGGAGCGCCTTCCAGATGCGGCGGCGTGGCGCAAACGGCGCCCAGAAGATCGTGCGCCGGAATGGAGACGCTGCTGCCCAACCACTCGGCGAAGGGCCTCAGCGTGCAGTCACACGACAGCGGATTGTCCAGCAGCGAGAGACTGTGCAGCTCATTCGTCCCCTCGAGGGCGTTCTTCGCCACAATGGAGATGTCATTCCCATCCAATCGCAGCTCCTTGAGCGCCGGCAGCGGCGCTATCAAGTCACTCGTCAGTGCTCGCAGGAAGTTGTGCGTCATGTCCAGCACCACGAGTCTCTTGAGGTGCAGCAGAGAAGCCCCAGAAATGGCCACGATCCCATTGTACCCCAAGTCCAGCACTTGCAGCGAATTCAGTCCCAGAAAGGCGTGATCCTGGAGCACATCAATCTGATTGTGTCGCATGGACAGCGTAATGAGACGTGGAAAGCCCTCAAGTGCGCCATTGTGAACGCTCGTCAGGACATTCTTGTCCAGATTCAGCGCCTCCAGTTGCGACAAGCCCGGCAGAAGCTTCTTCGTCAGCGGCCCTTTGATGCTGTTCGACTTGAGATCCAACTCTCTCAGGTTCAGACACTGTCCAATGGCTTGAATGCTTGAGGGAAAGTCTCCCAGGCGATTTCCATTCACCTTGAGCGTCACCAGGCGCTTCAGGGGCGAGAAAGTCCTCTGCGAAATGCTCGTGATCTGATTATCACTCAATTCCAGATACGTCAGCCTCTGCAGGGATGCGAAATCCGTTGCGCCCAGAGCTTTGATGCGATTGTTGGACAGATCGAGTCGATCGAGGGCCATCAGAGGCGTCAGGGAGTTCCACGGGACGCTCATGAGGGCGTTATTGGGCAGCCCGAGGGCTTGCAGAGGTGTTCTGAGCCCTAGAAAGGCCGATCGATGCACCCTCTTGATCTCCCCCGAGGAGATCACGAGGCCGTGCAGGGAGACATTCTCGAATATCCTGGCATCGCTGAGGAAGGTGACATTCTTGAGGGTGCAGTCCAGCAGGGAGACTGAGTATTCCGCCTCCCTCAGTCCCTGCGCAATCAACTCCAGCCCGTGGATGTCGCCGCTGCACCTCAGCGTGTGCGGCATGTCGCATCCGCACTCGAGATTGCGATTCCGCGTGATGTTGGGACACTTCCAGTTCTGCCCCAGGTTGTCTGGCTCCAGCACAATGGACTTCCTCTCCACTTTTCGCTTCCTGTTGTCGGCTTTGTTGACAAACTTCAGGCCTGACGGCTCCACGGACTCCGCCGAGATCATCACCGGCGCTTGCAGACACCCGGCGGTGCCAGGAACACAATCGGCCACCTTGTCCGCATCCTCGGCGATCGCCCAGTGGAGGAACAGCGGCAGAAGAAGCAATCTGCAGAGAGACAAAACCATTAGCCGGTGATGAAATTGAATTAGACGACAAATAGGTCAGTTTCGTATTCAATTTTCCAACATCACGTAGACAACCAGCATCTCCTGAGATCGCCGGATTCGTGGCCCAAATACGCTTCCGTTTCTAATTTCATCACATCTCCATATATTGGCCACAAAAGCTCCCAGCACACTTGCATCCAATCAATCTGTTCTGTGTCAGTAATTTTCCCTCCCGGATCATTGCAACACAGGCAAAAATTTTCCACGCGCATCCCAAACGCTTGCACAATTGATTAGTGATTTTGTAAGGTCAGAAATTGGCTCAGATTCAGGTCATAAAGACCAGCCGGAATGGAGTTTGTGGTCTCCTCTCTCTGGTCAAGTGCCAAAAGAGGCGCGATCTTATTGTGTGTAATTTCTTTAATCTCATTCATTGAGATCAATGCGATCTCAGCTCGTGAAGAAATGTGATTTTCGAGGGATAAAATAGGAATTCAATGAACTCTAAAGCTGATTTCCATTAAAATCAATCTATAAATGACTGAGAATATTATTATCGCTTTGAAGAGGACGAAATCACCTTTCCTTTAAATCAAAGATCAGCAAAATCGATCTGCAAACATCGAAGAAAAACGCTCTTGTTTTCATCCAAATCAAACTTCTCAGGCTTAAAATACACAGAATTTTGCATAAATTTTTACTCTCATGATTCGCTTTCCCTCCTTGCCTGATATTAAATTTTCCTAACTTGCCGCAAACGTGATAGAGCGTGTAAAAAATGGCAAAAAAGCCGCAATTCTTGTTGATCATTGTTATTTTTTTTTTTGATCTTCTGACCATTAATCCACCCAATTTGACCGATTCCGCCCAAGAAGAACATCTTTTTTCACCCTTGATCGACCACAGAGCGCAAAATGCGGAACAAAAGGCGATCGTCGCCAATAATACAAAAAAAAATAAAACCTCATTGATGGACAAATAATCAGATTCTGCGGAAAAACCGCGAGAGAGAGAGAAAGAGAATGATTTCGCACTAGGAATAAATTGTGCGAAATAAAAATGCTCAAACCCCAACACATTAATATTAATCATGTTGATAGTGAGCGTCTTAACTTAATAATAATCGCAGAGAGTTGACGAGATGATCGTGTTCTGACACTGTGTACGTGATATCTTCCTCCTCCAGAAGCCATTCATCTTGTGTGAGAACGAGATGGTGGCAAACAAGTGTGAAAATATTTGTTTTTCCACCGACTCAATATACATTTATTAATTTATAAACGCGACTCAGGTCCAATTCAGTTCGTACGAACAGCTGAAACTGAACGGACCTCAAGTGGTGACACAGTGCGCGCGCGATAACACCGGCTTTGTCTCTTGATAGCGAGTGCAGAAGAAGCGAGAGTACATGTGAATTTGCTTGGACAAACAACACCACAAAACCGCCTGAAATCTTGCCTGCGAACAAACATGCGGTTAAGTGTGCTGAAGATCACCTGCCTTGCGCTCTTCGGCGCCCTCCTGATCACCAGCGCGTCCGCGAAGATCTTCACGAGATGCCAATTGGCCAAGGAACTCGCCCGCCACAAATTTCCCCGGAGTTTCATCTCAAATTGTGAGTCTTCGACATGATCATGCGGGGGGACATTAAAAAGTCTTTAAAAACCAATGTCATTAGAAGATCTTTTACGACTTCTTGACTTGGGGAATCACTCAAGATCTTCCCGTAAATTATATAACACAGCCAGATGTTTTTATATCTTCCTCCTCTTGTGTGTGTCTCTCTTTTTTTTACGCGATCGCGCGAGAATTCAGCAGAATTTCTCAATGAAAACCCCATTTGGATGTCTATCATCTTGACAAAAACTGTAAACTCCTGTCATTTATCACCTTATTTTGCATTTTTATAGCACTTTTCTCCAGCAAATAGGATTTTTTTGTGTGTGCTGAAAGATCTCTAGATAAGATCCTCACACAATATTCCCATCGGGCTTCAGAGAGATATCACCCAATTTCCACATGATCGCAATTTAGAGGCACAATAAAAATCAGTCAATTGGAGCAAATTGCATGAGAAGATCCATAAATTGTGCCCGCTGTCCATCCAAGCAATTCCATCCATCTTAATGCAATCTCGCCACTTCCTCTCCCAATTAGGGGTCTGTCTCATTGAAAATGAAAGTGGCAGAAGCACAACAAAGGTGACTCAACATCCCAACCTCACGACCAGCTACGGATTGTTCCAAGTGAGTATATATTGCGAGTGATTGATCGCACGCGATCGCTTCTGATCAATCCAAATCTGTGCGCACACAGATCAACAGCAAAGATTGGTGTCGAAAGGGCAGAAAAGCCGGCGAGTGCAACATGAAGTGCGAGGATTTCCTCAACGACGACGTCACGGACGACATCCGCTGCGCTCGCCTCATGTACGATCGCCACGGATTCCTGGGCTGGCCCGGATGGAAGAACAAGTGCAAGGGTCGCTCCCTCCCCGACGTCTCACGCTGCTGATCATGTGTATATATGTTGGTGTAATTTCACCCCAGTGAGAAAATCAGAAATTTGCATAATTAATAAATTCGGCGCATGAAGAATTCCATCTCGACTGCCCCGAGGCTCATCTCCTTCCTTGCCATTTCATTTAAATTCCTCGCCATGCAGAAATAATTGCTTCTGTGCTGTTCCACCACTGACCAAATTTATGACCTCCTCTCGCCTTCTTGCGACCACGATCATCATCATCATTTTTTGGCCACTGCAGCAGACGGCAAATTCTTTCACTTATTGCACTGCCCGGCTTTTTTTCTTCATCTTCTCCTCGACCCGCAACTGCTGATCTTTTTGCCCGCTCGCCGTCTGTGTTTGTGGCCACGGAGCAAAGGGAAAACGGCTACTTTAATGTTTCCGTTTTGATCGCGCCATGCATCAAAAAGGACAGTCAAAAAACCAGAGAGATGATAGGCAAAATTGACAAAAATCGATCGCCGCACATAATTTGAGAGGAAAGAACTTTACAGGTAAGTTGAAGCGCATAATTGCAAGTTTTGGAGATGATTTTTCAAGCCTCTTCGGTCAAAAATTGGCATCTTTGTATTCGATTTTCCCTTGTCATATGAAAATGCATCGCTTCCAAGCAGAAATGCGAGTGAAATTATCTCGCAAAGTAGCAAAATAAGGGAAAAATCTCAAATTATTAAATTGCTTTGCAGAAAGCTCAACTAACAACCCTGAAAAATCCGTAAAGCAACTGAAGATCTGCACCAAATAGCACACTGAGGATTAGTCAAATCACTGAATCGTACGGAGAATCTCCCTGCAGCAGGTGAGGTTTCAAGAACACTCTTCACACCCAACGATCTTCATCCTCCTCCCCAGCATTATGTTATTTGATCTCACTGACGCAGAACATCATCATGGTAAAATTACATCGGCGCGTTTAATGTCTTCCTGCGATTGTTCTTCTCTGAACTCCCCACGATCGCGTCTGTTCTTCAATCCCAATCGACAGTCTCATCATCATTCAGGTGCTTTATTATGTGATTAAGCAATTTCGAACTCTAATTCGTCGCACTTCATAAAATTATCTTTTTCCTCCGGATGTTTTTCCCATATCTTTGGACTTTTGGGGAGAAAGATCAAACATCAGTCCCATCAATTCTTCCACGCATTTCGAAGAATGTCTCATTAGAATTTCGTCTGTTTGCCTGCCGCATGTTTGTGTGGGTTTTACGTTTAATATCATCACAAGGCATTCTTTCTTCTTGCACGAGCTTCTTCCCTAATCTGCAAACAATTGAAGGATTGTCTTTCGCTCTTGCGTTGGCTTAATTCATTTAAATAAATTCACATTGAGTTGTTGATATTGCGTTGCCGCGGGATTGATTTACTGTTGACTTGAAGACATGCCAGAAATTCTCAATTAAACTCTCAACACGATCAAGCATTGCCAAATTAGCGTGATCGTCAGCGACTCATAGCTTCATTAAATACTCTTCCAACGTGAAAATACCCAGAGGTAAGACAGTCAAATTACCAAGCAGTGACCATAGAATGAGAGGGAGAAGAAGAAGAGTTCCGAGACAGTTACATTGTGTGATCAGAATGTCTTGCGAGAGAACAATCATCGAGGGTAATTTGAGAGAGTCATTTGGTATTCAAAGCACAGCGTTTTCAAGAAGCCAGCCGAGCCATTGTTGATCTCTGGCAGAGCGACAAATTCTGGATAATTCCATCTCTTCTGGCTCTCCGGTGAGCGGAAGTGCCTGAGGAGAAAGAGACCATATCCATTCAGAGAAGGGAAAGCAGCACAAAACATCTCACAAAAATCTCAGGTAGAGACCATTTTTTTCTTCCTTCTCCACTCAACGCAGATCCGACCAAAGAAGACTTAATACCTGACAAAACATTTGCATGATCGTTTGGGTGAATTCTCAGCTCGATCACCCACGCGAATGCCGTCAAAGTGCCAAAGCGAGTGGGTGGCTTGATCACCTCTTCGCGGAGAAACGAAACACAGCCCAAAACCCACAACAAATGACCCGCGAGAAGCTTTGCAGCTCATCACGATGCAATTAATTAAATCAGACACACGCACATTCAGCGTTCGAATTACGAGGAAGCAAGATAAAATTGCCATAAAATATTGATTAATTCCTCCCTTCGCTCCGCCGCATTGCATCTATTCGGCTATATTTCACCGAAAAAACAAAAAATCCACACACAGAGAGCCGGAAATTGATGATCCCTCCGCTTTGGTGCCTCTTTTCGGGCTTCCCTCTCGCCGCCTGACCTTTTTTTGCCCTCCGCGCGCGCACAGACCATTCAACAGGCGAAGAAGGAAGAGGAGGATCGGCCAGAAAGAATTATTGCCTCTCCACTGCAAACACACCTGCATTCTCTATCCGGCTAACGTCTCCTTTCTCTCATCGCTCATCCATCACCGCAGTGACCGAATGTCCTGCACATCTTTGGCAAAAGATTCGCATTTTTCCGCCCCCAAAAATCGATGAGGATGAAATTTATCGACTCATTTAAGTCACTTCAACACGTGATCGTGTGTCTCTGAAATGCTTGTTATTGAATAAATTTAATGCCCTCACTAAATAGACTAAATATTCAAATTAGCCCCATTCGAAATGGTATCAAATTTCTGAGAAATTCTACTCTATTCCCAGAATGTTGCCATAAACAGATGATAATAAATTATGATAGGTCAAGAGTTGCTTCACGAGCACTTCTCTAGAAAGTGATAAGAGAAATTCTCAAACAGTAGCATGGCGCCAATATGATTTTATCACTCTTCTTAAGGCGATTCTGAAAGAAGATATTGAATTTGATCGATTTGATAAACACTGCAGAATATTCTTTGTTCACATTCTGCAATTCAAACTCCAACGACACTTTTTCAACTGGATTTTTGGTCATTCTGACCAGATACTGACCAGTCGTGGGACATTTTGTGGAGTTATTTGCAATTGTCTACTCATTTCGTGAAGCACAAGTTAATAAATTCAGCACAGCGTCCAAATTATCTTGCTTCTATATTAAATATTGATTAAATATAGATGATGCCGTGAAGGGTTAACCCCCAGATGTAGACAAAACGGACTCAAACTTCACCGCTTTTTCTTCTCAGTGATTCCAGACGAGAGTTGAACGTTTCCGGTGTTATATTTGCAGTCTACAACAGCATTTCACATCACCTTCCCTCAATCCATTCATGCTATTCAGCGAGTCGTGTTCAGCCATGTGAGCGGGAAAAAGGGAGCAAAAGCATGAAATGAAAGAAGCCACTTAGTGTGGGTGCTATTTAGTGAAATTCCACAGTACAGACCTCACACGCGCTTCTCTGCGAGTGGCTGGAAATTGGAAAACGAAGGTCAGGAGATTTGTGCAGAACAATCCCACCGATTGATTCTCTTCTGCCATCGCCTTCACCCATCATGAATGGGCAGAGAGACAGTACACGGAGAGTGCAATGAATGGAGGTGATTTGTCTTGAATTTATAGCACTTGACTTGGTGTGCGACATGTTTTCGTCCATATACCCGTTGATGGTCACCTCATCATAAAGACAGGCACTTTATTGTGCAGATGGAGAGAAGAAAGCAACGAAGACACTGCAGATCGCAGACATTGTTGTGCAGCAAGAGAGAGAGAATCTTTGTGATCTCTTGCGACGCCGATGTGGAAAAACCACCAACAATTCAGCTGCCAATGAATTTCATTCAGGTGTCCATTGTCAATGTGAAATCTCTATATTATGCCCACCAAATTGGGAAGCGCGAGTTTTGCAAAATTGATCGGTGCAATTGAATTTCAATATTTTTCCACTGCACACACCGAGCAACAGATAAACGATCTATATTTCAGCCACTTAAGGCGACAGTCGAGATGATCTCCAACCATCTTTATATACCTATCTCGCGATCAAGTGATCATCTTGGATTCATTGCATTAGTATAAACTTGATCATCAACTCTCTGACCTTTTTCGCTATGTGATTTCCAGAACAAATCAACATTTTTTAATTGACTCTTCGACTAAACAATACAATAAATTTTCTTACAGACAGAAAATATTGTGGCCAATGATCGTGCTCGATGATCATCCACATCTTAGCCAATGATGGTCAAATTAGAATATAGGAAAAAAAAAGAACAAGAAGTCAAGTGATGAATGCGATCGTGATCATTGTGGAATGTTGCTCGGAAACTTATCAAAATATTTGAAATTCACTGCGCGCCGTGCTCAATCATCACATAAACCGAAGGCACTAATCGAATTAGTGGGATTTTTCGACGAATTATCAGTCGGATGAATTGGATCTTCGTCACCTTGAAGAAACACCTCGAAAACGAGACACACTAACACGCGAGGATCGTGAGATCGCGTCTCCTGTGCTGGCGGTGAGGAGGAAAGGGCGCACACAGAGCATGAGGCGAAGTGTGTGATCCAACATTGGAGAGCAAAACAAGAAGAAAAAAAAGCCATCTCGCCAGAGTCTGCAGCTCGCGCGAGGCTTCGAGAATATGAATGTGAAACGCGCGTAGGTGTTGCTGAATGGAAAAACGACAAATTTGAATAACACACAACAAAGATGTATAAAATCGTGTAGGACGATAGACATAATTACCGTAGGCTGAACCGCGTTTCACTTGCCAGTTTTACACACATTCACAAAAATCCCCCCAGAAAGACAGCCAACAGCAGGAAAAAAATATATAGACACCAGCAATCGAGAGGCATAAAGGCACAATGTACAAGAAAATGTGGGAGATCAGGCGACTGCCCGTTAAATTTCCCATTCAAAATGCATCTCTCACCTCAAAATGCACTCTCCCAATGCGCGCGATATACAAATGAGAGCGCCAGCGAGAAGATACTAAATGTTTCAGGCCTCGCCGCTGAGGAAATTATGCTCCAAAAAGCGCCCCCCGCCATAGCCGAAAACCCACACGAGTGTAGGCATTTGGAATTAATTCTGTTTGTGGAGTCACTTTTCTTGTGCGCGGTGTCAACAATAAGAGAAGAAGAAGAAGTGGAGGAGAGAGAAAAAATCCTCCTTTTCACCTTTAACACACTCCTCAATGACTTGAATTTGTGGAGGCGTCTTCGCTTGTATTCCAAACACCATCCAAGAGAACAATCAATTCACTTCACTCCTTTGTGCCACCCAATTTATTTGTCCTTCCCAGGCAGAGCTTCGTGAGATGCGAATGTTCAGAGCCCCCCCCAAAAAAAAAAAGAAAACTCGCTTCTCGCACTGAAATAAAGGCTATGCTTTTGCAGCAATTCACAGAGTCTTGAACTAATTACTGACAAATCAGCTGAATTAAGTGCAGAGGAGAGCAGCGCACTCAAAGACGCTGAACACTTCAAGAGACTAATATGAATTCATATAGCTAGACCAGCACATCAAGCACTCTTTTCCTCTCTCGTTTGGCTTGAATGCTCAGGAAGAATGCGAAGCCGGAGAGACATAAAAATCCTATACAAGTAGAAACAATCATTCAAAATATTTGTGATTCATGCGTCATCGTGAGTGAAGAATGCCAACATTTGGAAGATGATTTCAGACAAATTTCTAATAATAAAACCCGTGATCTAAAAGAAAACCAGCCCAAAAAGCACACAGATGCGCAGACAAGAAGGAGAGTTAATTGTGTCACAATGTGAAATAATAATAAAATTAAATATTTACACCTTCGCGAGTGGTCCAAGAATACAGCGTGCCCAATAAATTCCCATCAGATCAGGCAGCCATAAAGGCAATAAAGACGACAAGAGCGTACAACAATGTGGGATTAGTGAATCTTTTATTGATCGCGCGCTGAAGTCAGATCCTCAATATTTTGGAGACACACAAATTGTGTTCTCTCGCGGAGAGTGGCTGTTTCTTCTTGTACATTATGTGTACCCAAAGAGTGACAGAGTGAGAGACGATAAAGTGTGGGGCATTGCTTAACATCGTGCATACATACCTGAAATACAGCATGACTGAATGAAGCTCAAAGAGGCGAGCATTTAAAACTGGTCTTCAGCAGCACTGTCCATTTTAGGCGCAATTTTCCAACCCCATTTCCACACACGCACACACACACTCTCGATATTCTCACTCTTGTCTCTGGCCAGCGACTGGAGCGTTTCTGCTGCCTTTCGCGCACTCCCAAAGTCTGTTTATCTCTCACGATATATTACAGTCAATATTCCCCTTATCACTTCTTCCACTTTGCACACACCCACTAATCAAACAGTCAACTTCCTGGGATACTCGAGCACACTCACGAAATCCTCTCTTCTCATGCACACGGGCAATCTTCGCTGCGCCGCGCAGCGCCACGGGACAAGTCACGGCTTTTGGTGCAGCGCGAGGCGCCAATTTCATTGATGATCACACCAGGTGAGTGTCCACTGTCCAGAGCCTGAGACGCAGTCGCACAACTTCTCTCGCCGCTCGTCAACCATCAACTGGCGTCGGGTTCGCGGCCTCATCGCGCGCTCAGGCCTAGTGAAGAGACGAAGAGAGAGAGAGGCACAGGTGGTTAGCGGTGCGAGAGAGAGACAGAGAATTCATTCAAAAATGCCCAAGAAGTGGAAAAGGCACATCGGCAGTCCATTTCGTGATGTTCCCACCTTTGCACGTGGGCTTCGAAGCGAGCACAAGAAAAGCCAATTGAATGGCAACACAATTAATTTCCTCTCCTCTCGAGGATTGTCTCCTTATTGCCATTGATGATGAATTGAACTGTTTTCAGACGATGGGCGTCTCACTAAGCAATTGTCGTAAGAGTGGATGAAAGTATCATGCAAATTAACCCTTTAACGACACAGACTGACTTTAAAATCTCACGTTTGAGGATGAAAAACTAAATCCACATCATGTTTTAAGCATTAATAAACCTCTTTTTAACATTAAATTGTAGTAATCAACATGACTTTTACAAATTCTCAAGGAAAAAGTTCATTTCGCGAGATGAAATGGGTTATTTGCCATGAGGCGTCACCGCGATTTCCCCTTACGACACTCGCTCATTGACACTCTCCAGCGACAATAGCCCAGATAAACGTGAAATGCGCGTCAATTCACTGTGCAGAGGCACAGCAAAGAAGATCATTGAGGAAGTGAGTTTGTCCACCTTTTGTTGCTGGGACACAAAGCGAGACATTTTCATCATTGAAGTCCCCATCCGGTGGCCAAGTGTGCCGCTTCGATGGCTCTCCATCGTCTCCTGCCCACCAATTGATCCGGTCAAGCATCAGTAGAGCACAATTGGCCAAATCATCATTGGGCAAAAAAGGCGCGAACGACAAGGGATGCAGAGCATGTTGCAAAAGTGTGAAGAAAAATGAATTTCAATGAGGAAATACTTGAATTTCATTAGCATTCTTCGCATTTTTCTCCCTCTCCTTTCATCACTCTCTTTCCGCCGAGGCGAGCGACAAAAAAAAGTTACCTGAATAAAGTCATTGTATTATGATGCATCACACTCACACTCACGCGAGCGCGCGCACTTCACGGATGCGGCGAACCCACGACGTCGATGGCCCCTTCCGCCGGTTTCACGTCTTCGGGCGGTGTCACCAGCGATGCCGGAATGTTGAGAGTCTGCAAAAGAGGCCGAGAGTTAATTGCCGCCTGGCCGAATTGCCGGCATTCCAATCGCTCACCTTCCCAGGACAAACCGCCTCGTACTGATGCTTGAGGCTCTCCAGCTCGAAGTTGCACGTGGCCAGAGCGGTGCGCAGCTCGCACAGCAGCACCATGTCTGAGCGCAGTTCGTTGAACGCCAGGCAAATCTCCTCAGTCGGCGGCGGAGTCGGATCGACTTTGAACTCCTGAATCGCCTGCTCGAGCGCTTTGGCCTTCTTCTGGCCCACATTCGCCGGCAGCTTCATCTTCTGCGACCGCAGAGACACGCCCGTGCCTCTGAGATCCGTGAACTTGATGCCCGCCGACTCCACGGCGCTCACCACCGAATCCACCTTCGACGGCCTCTGCTGACTCAGCTGCTTCTTCTTGTTCAGCTTCTTGTCCTGCTTCCTGCTCGACGACGTGTTCTGCTGCGCCTCACCCTGCTGATCCGCCTGCGAGATGAGCTTCTGCAGGTCCTGCGTTTTACGCTCGCGCTCCTTCTTCCGCGCCTCAATCTTCTTCAGCTCGTTCAGCAGCATTTGCTCCTCCTCAATCTGCTTCGCCGTGCGCTCGAACAGCTTCTTCAGCTGCTCCTTGCGCTTCCGCTCGTGTTCAGCGTCGAAGACGTACGTCTTCTTGTCCGAAGTGCCCTTGATTTTACTGAGAATGCTTGTCACCTCGTAGTAGCGCTCCTTCAAGTCCTCCACACTTTTCATGCCGTGCGTCTCTTTGTCCCAGCGATCCGCCATCACCACGAATCGCAGGTCGAATCTCTTCGCCAAGTCCATCAGATGATCCGTCTGAGCCTTCGACCACTTGGCGTGATTTGTCCGCAAGTGTGTGTTGTATTCTGTGATCGAATAACTGGGAATGCTGAGCTGCTTGTTGAACTGCGCGAACGGATACACCTTCGGCTCGTCCGAGATGCGCTTCCAGTGATGGAAGACGGCATTGTCTGTGCGCGCGGGGTTTGAGAACGGCGCCCAGTGCCACTTCCTGACCTTCTTCATTCCCAGTCGCGCCTTCGTTTGCTTGTATCCTGTGCCAATGCCGCCAGTGTCTGACGGCAGAAGTGGCGGAGCGTCCTTATTGTCATTGTACAGCAAGGCAAATACCTCTCTGTGCATCCCTTCGGGGCGCTTCATAGCCTTCGCCCTGCAACGAACACCGTAAAATCACTTGATGTCTCAATGTTCCGGAAAGAACTCACCTTTCGGGATTGTGTTTCTTCTTGGAACTCAGGAGCGCCTCTTTTGTCACCTCCGGCGTCGGTGGACGCTCCAGCTCCATAATATCACGTATATCTGCGGACATCTGCGAAGAAAAGCCAGGAAAACCATTGAAAATTAGAAGACAAAAGAGACACCCACTTTTGAGGTTAGGAAGTGTTTCATGCTGATTTCTCCCATCAAAACGCGTTCATCACGCAATTTTCACTTTAAAAACTCCCTACGGATATTCTTCTTTGTTATTAAAGGAAAAGTAACTTCCAGAATAAGGTATTTACCTTGATTTTGTAAGAAAATGCGAATCACCTGCACTGTAAACAAATCAGACTTGCAGACTGAAGTTTGCCGCAAGAGCGCGATGAAAGTTCAAATCGACCGTTTGGGATGATTTTCCAGACTCCGAGCAAATTCTTTCCAGTTCAACTAAATTCAATTTATTCCATAATTTATACATATTATGTTCGTAAGAATTCAAATAATAAAAATAATTCATCTTCTTGATTAATTATCCGTTAAATTCCGTAACTTCGGAAGTTCCTGGAAGACATTCAGGACTCGCTGCTGACCAATTCGAACCACTGCCTCATGGCGTCACTCAGCACAAGCGGCAGCTGGGCCAGATCCCTCACAATCACATAGTACGGGAATGGGAAGGTGTCCAGGTAGTATTTCATCGTCATGCTCTTCTTGTCAGCCGAGAAGCTCGGCACGCGGATGTCCATGATGGAGTGTTTGTTGTCCGGATTGTCGATGATGATGTAGACGGTGAAGATGCGCTGGAGTCTGGCCAGTTTGACGGCATCCTTGACTCTCTGTTCGCCCTCGCTGAAGATATTCCTACCATCGCTGAGAATCAGGAGGAGATTCTCAAAGATGCCATTTCCAGACCCACCAGAAGCATCCTCCTGACCGGCTGTCCTCACAAAATTCAGCAACTCCGCGATTCTGCTCTGATTCTGGTCGAAATTGAGGTACTTCACCAGTTTCGGGCCGTCAAACTGATCAGTGTGATTCAGGAGGATTTGTGGACTCTCTCCGAAGGAGACAATGCTGCAAGGAAGCGAGAAATCATGAATTCTTGTCCTCCGCTGCCTAAGAGATAGAATCTCACCTCAATCTACCGCTCTCGAGGAGCGTCAGCGCCTGTGAAACCAGTGAAATCGCCTCCAAAGTCAGTTCCTTCGAGTTGTTGTGGTGCATCGACTTGGAATCATCAATTGCAATAGTGATTTTGTAATCTCTCTGCGCGGGTTTCGTCCTTCTCAACCAGATCTTGTCCTTCCTGAACTGCGACGCCAAATACGGGATGATCTGGAAGACAAATTAACATGAGAAATGATCTTTTGCAAGCTCATTAAGCTTTCTTACCTTCTTCATGTTGATCCTTCTGCCAGTTCTGTAGTCTCCCTTCATCCTGGTGCACTTTGTCGGCTCCAGGATCAGCCTCAGTTGTTCACAAAGATCCCTGGCACTCTGCATCATCTTCACAGACACTTCCTGCCACTTCTCGAAGTCTTCCTGTCCCGGCCGGGCAGATTTCACCGATGAAACTTCCCGCTGAAACATCCTGACCATCTGCAGGGATTCCTTGACGTCTGGCTCATCCGGCATGGCTGTGTCCTGCACAATCTCCATCTGACAATGGGCTGCAGTGTCATCCGGCCGGTTGGCAGACATTGTAAGCACTTCTTCACCCTCAATTTCTCCCCTTTCGACTTGCTCACACTTTTCCTCCTGCTTCTTCTCGTTCTTCTTCGAAGGTTTCGACGACTGCCCATCCATTTGCTCAGCATCCACCATCTCCACATCCTGATCCTCAGTCTCCTCTTCGTCCTCATTCAACTGATTGTCCACACTTGCCTCCTCCTCCTCCTCTCCTTCCGCTTCATCTTCATGCCTCACACTCTTCGCCTGCTCCTCCGTGGCATTGTCCAGTGTTGTTTTGTCAGACTTCCTGGCCTCCTTCACGTGCTGATACTCCTCGGCTTCACCCTCCTCATCCTTGTCCTCCTCCTGCTTGCCACTCTCCTTCATCTTCTCTATAGTCTTCAGTTGCTTCCTGGAATCTGCAGAGTCACCCAAAGTTCTCTCTTCATTAGTGTTTCCCTGCTTTCGCTTCTCCTTCTTTTCAGCCGTAGATTCTTTCTCATTTGTCCTTGCTTCCGATCCTTCAGCGACTCCTTTATGGCCAGACTTTGACTCCTCATTTTGCGCCTGACCAACGCCCTCCTTGTCCTCGCCTGTGTCCTGATCTGCCATGTCTTCCTTGGCCGTCTCATTATTCTTCTGCTCCTCAACAGCCACTTGATCAGCTGATCCCTTATTCTCACTGTCTGGCATCGCCTGGACATTGTCCTCCTTGGACGCAGCATCCTTGGACTCATGATTCTCCGGCCTTTTATGATTCTGTGCATCTTCACTGTCCTTCTCTTCATTTTCTTCAGGATTCTCTTCCTGAATCTGATCAGGAACTGCAGGAGCTTCATTCTCCTCTGGTTTCTGGGCATCTTGATCTTCTGCTTTGTCCTCTGGAAAAGCGCTATTCGCCTCTCCATCATCATCACTTGAATCCGGGTCACTATTCTCAAGATTCTCCTTCTGATCCTCATTCTGAACGTCCTCTTCAATCTCTTCCTCGACCATTTGCTCCTTCATTGTGTCAATGTCAAAGGGATTCTCCTCTCCGCCCTGATTTTCCTTTCCTTCCTCCTCGTCCATGTTGCAATCGTCCCCCAAATCCATCGGCTCCGCCTCTGGAGGCTCCTCCAGCTCGTTGTGATAGGGATTCACCTGATCCTCGTCCACTTCGGGCTCTTGCATCTTGTCAATGTCTTTCTGGCGCTGTTTCTTCTCCTGCTTTCCCTCTGGATCGGCTGCATCCAATCCCTCTTGATCGCCCTCAGCCTCATTCTCCGCTCCCAGATCATCGTGAGCGTCTTGCGTCTGATCAGATCCCTTCCCTTTGTCATCATTCATCTCCTCGCTGTCTTGCTCGTCCTCTTCGCCCTCTTCATCGCCCCAAATCTGATCATCCAACTTCTCAGCGCCCTCTTCAGTCTCTCCCATCTGCTTATCCGCCTCCTCCTCCTGATCCTCATCCTCACTCTCATTCTCCTCGCCATTCTGCTCCACGTCCTGCAGATTCGAATCGAAATCCTCACTCATTTCTATGCCCTTCTCTTCTTTGCAGTCACTCTTCTCCTCCCCTGACTTCTCCTCTTCGCCAGGCTTCTTTGCGCCTTCCAGCTGATCTTCAGACTCAATCTTCTCAGACACATCCTTCTCTCCAGCACCGTCATCGAAGCCAAATCCTTCACCCTTCTTTCCGCCCTCTTCTTTCTGCTTCTCCTCCTCTTCGATGTCCTGCATTAGATCCTGCGGAATGCAGAATCCCTTGGAGACAAGCTCCACAAACACGCCCAGCATCAGCGAAAGCATCTTCAGTGACACTCGATGGACGCTAATCTGCTGTGTCAGCAGGAACTCCACGAGGAGGGCGAATTGCTGAAGAATTGGCACTTTCTCTGTGATCTTCTCCACGACAATCATCTTCTCGTCCAGCGGAAGCACAGCACACTTTATGGCATCGTTCACACTGTCCAATTTCTTCGCCAGAACTTCCAGATTCATGTCTGCAAAATCGGCTTCCAGCTTCAAGCAGACTTCGCCCTTCAGTTGATTCTCAATCTCATCATCTTCATTGTCGGGCTTCTCTGAAGTTCCTTTCTTGAACAGCTTCTGCAATGCGATCCTCACGGCGAAGATTATGTTCTCAATCTCCCTGGAAACATCCTCAGCTGAAGATTCCGCAGGTATTTCAGCTTCTTCACACTGAATATCATCCATTTGTGCCAGAAGATCTGCCAAAGGTTTCTGGAGGAGCAAATTGGGAAGCTTATCTCTCATCCCAGAGATCTTCTCCACAATTGCCGAGAGATCTTTCATGCAAGACTGAACGAAATCCAGTGAACAGAACAATGCGTGTCTTCTCTTGTTCACTTTGTCAATCAATCTGCGTGAATCTAAGATCACAGCTTCACTCTCTTTCATGAGATCTCCAATGATTTGTGAGTTCTGAGTCAATTCCCACGAGGAGTTCTTCCTAGCCATGAGACTCTTCTCGAAGTCTTTTGGTGCATTCTTTAGCAGAATCTTGAATTGCTCAAGAATATCTCCAATCTTGCAAGCTCTCTCTGTGACTTTGTGTAGTTTCTCATCCAGAGAAAGAAAGTTCAGTGCTTTTTCACGATCTTCAGGCTTTAAATCCTTCACAACCACACTCAAATTCACCAAATTCTCAATACCTTTCTGGATCGTCTGCAAATTCCTTACGGATGAACTCACAAGTCGCCTTTGATTCTGCATCAGCATGAACAGATCCACTGAGAAGCCTTTAATGCGGTCTGTATTCTGCAATCCAAGCTCAGAACTCGGACTCAGAAGCACTGTGATGAGTCTCTTGAGCCGATAAGAGCACTTGGCGAATCTCTTGTCCACATCCTGGCCGAAGGAGAGGAGATTCTCGTTGAATCTGCGCCTCAATGTGTGATCTTCAAGGGTAAATGGTGGAATCTTGAGATCAATTACTTCGGGATTCAGCGTAAACTCCATCAATCCTGCTCGATAACTCAATCCCAGGCTTGAGAGTGTCTTGAAGAAGTCCGCCAGGGATTTTCTCTTCTGATTCAAGATCTGCTTCGCCTGGGATTTCTGCTTGGATCTCTCAACACTTCGATCCACTTCAAGCTTCCTCAGATAATCACCCGTCTCCACGTAATCTTCCACGAGATGCTCAAGAGAGAGAATATTGCTGGGATATTGCGAGTGAAGTATTGTCTTCTTCACCAAATCCCGCGAAACTAGGAAGATCTTCGATGAATCCTTGCACTTCTCTCTCAGCTTCTCCGCCACGAGGAAGTTATTCACGTCAATTGTGTACCTCTTGTGGATGTCTTCGGTCTTTTCGATGGCTTTCGCAGGATCCCTGGCCTCTTCATTCGTCAAAATCGGCGTGATTTTCTCCCTGAGGATCATCTCAAATTGCTTTGAGCACTTGTGCACTTTCTTGTGCATCTCCTTAATGTTATTCTTCATGCTCAAGTATGAGAGATCAGGAGTGTACGAGGCGATCTTCACGCGCTCTTTCAACTCCTTCTCAATCGGTCGACGCTTCGTCTTGATGACATCCTCAACAATGGGCAGAAATTGACTAAAATACAGATGAATGTTGAATATCATTGCAATTAGAGAGTCTTGTCTCTCTCCATAGTCAAAAGAGTGTTTCAAAAAGTGCTGAAAAGCCTTCAGAAGATCAAGTCGCAGTGAAAATTCTCCGTAATTCGATGATTCCATGAACTGATTCAGTGTCTTCATTATGTCAACAGCTTCAATCTCCTCAAATCCCGCATTTGGCGTGATTTTGCCCTCATGCACAAACTCCCGCAAGAGATTGTAAATGAAGAAGATATACTTGAATCCAGAGCTTCGCACATTTTCGAAGGAATGCGAGAGACTCTCGCGCCAGAACTGCAACTCCAGCTTCGTCCATCTCTGGATGAATTCCGTCACGCGCACCTTGAGATCCAGCATGTTGTTATTCCTGTGCGCCACACTGTTCCACTCATCAATCCTCTTGCTGAGCAGCTGAAAGCCCGTGCTGAAGCGCACGACACTCGATGTCACGGGGAATCCTTTGAGACGCTCTACCAGGATTATGACATCATTGAGAGCAGCGTGATCTGGCCACTGTTTCAACTCATTCCTGGCACGATCCTCAATTACATTCAGCACGTCAAGGCATGGCAAAATCTCCTCCACGTTCGCATCATGATAGAAGTTGTAATCCTTCGATTTCTCCTCAATTCCCGGACTGTAGGATCTCCTAGAGATCTCAGCCAGCAATCCCATGCCCAGATAAGAGACATCATCCATTCGACTGCCCACGAAACTGCCGCACTGCTTCATTAGATTGTGAAACATCTTCACTTGCATCTTATATCGCTCGATGTAGTTCAGCTTGAGATCCGTCTGGAATTCTGCACTTCCGACCAGAGACATGATCTTGAGGAAATTCTCTCCGAGGACTTTGATATCATCACTCGTGAGAGCGTCTTTGGAGGCAACTTGTGGCGTCTTTCTAGCATGAATCTTCTCCAGAGTGTCATTCTGCAGCAAATCCCCAAAATCCTCCGCCACAGACGTGGGGAAATTCCTCTCAACCTCCTGCAGAAGAATCTCATCCTCATCCTCAGTCGCACACTTGGTCTTCGTCACATACAAGCTCTCCTCCTCGAGTTTCTTCCGCTTTTGCCTCTCTTGCTGCTCTTGCCAAATGGCCTCAAAGTCACTTAGAATATCCTCATAAGTCTCATACACATTAACACTCCTTTTGATCACAATTTCATTAGTCACTTCGATGCTCTGAATCTTCGCCATCTCCAGCAACAACTCTTCACCTTTAGGATGTTCTTTGAGGAAGGATTTCACGATTTTAGAGTCAATTGTTGTCTTCACAGCGGGAAAAACTATCAAACTCTCCAGAAAGTCCACCAGAACACTCTTATCACTCTTCATCAGCATCAGATGATCAACTACACCCGATAATCCGTACTTCATCACAGTCACAGCGTAATCCATCGGCTCTACGAAGTCTCTGTAGTGCGTGGAGAATGTCGGAAGCACGTGAAATTGGAAATTCTCCGAGTTCTTCATCCACGATTCCACTTTCTTCGCCACTTCCACACTCGGACACTCCTTAACACTCTGAATCAGCTCACGAAGATCCTTCGGCTGGCAGCAGGCGTGCACAAAGTGCTTGATAGTGTTGCTCAATTCACTGTACACACACTGTTCAGGACGCAAAGCCAATCTCTGTGTCAGTTTCTCCTCTTCGCTCTTCAGATCGTCCAACTTTTGCAGCAACATCTGCACAATTCCATCTCCCAACAGCGAATACTTGCACACAACGCCCATCGATCGATAGGCAGTGGTGAGATCTTGCAGATGATGCTTGTCCTCATCCAGATAAAGTCTCTTCAGACGATGCTTCTCAACGGGATCCAGAAGAGGCAAGTGACAAAGCAAATTCAACTCAATCGCACCAATTATTGAGTACAAAATACTCGCTGAGAAATTCATCTTTCGACGTTGATCGTGCGTTGGAAGATCACAAATCTTCTCCTCAGCGTCACGGCAGTTGTTTAGCTCCAGCTTGAGATAATCAACCAGTTTCTGCAAGACACAGAAAGAGACATTATAAGAACACTCACAGAATTTTTTCATTTGTAAAACTCACATAGAATTCGTCATGTTCCAGCTTCTGGCATTGTTCTCTCATGTAATCAATCTCCTGCAGAAGTCTCGCACTCTTCTCAGTGGCCAAACGATAGTCAATCATCCTGAAAGAGATTCCAAACATGTAAATATCTTAAAATCATCACGGATTCAATGAACTCACTCTAAATTGAAGTCATTCCACGACATATTCTCCATGTTACTCCACACAATTTGGGAAATCTTCTCCAGATTCTCTTTGAAACCCTGCAAAATGTTAAATCCAGCTTCTCTCAAGCTTCCATCCGGATTCAAGAGAACTGCTGAGAGAGATTGAGTCAAAATTGGTCCATTTCTGCGAAGTTTCTCCTTGTCTTTGCCATCAAATCTCTCAGTCTTTCCAATATTCTGATAATCAGTGTTGATCAGATCCATAATCTTCCTCTTCCTCATCTTATCAAGGGATCTCTGACGAGTTGACATGGTTTGATAGACATCGAGCTTGTCTGCAGAGAGTTCTGTCACTTCATTCACCTCTTTATTACTCAGGATGATCTTCAGTTCACTTGGCGATGAATATTTGCCGATGAGGAAATCTCTGTTGATCTCATATTTCTCCTGAGCGATGACTTTTGCAGCAAAGTACTCAAGAATACCGAGCAATTCCACATTTTCCATTCGCAGTTGATCACTTCGATCGCTGTGGATAATTTCCATGAGTTTCTCCTTCAATTTAGCAATTTTCTCCTCTTTTTCTTCGCTCGCATCTTCAACAATCCTGAAGAATTCCTCTTGAACAGCCAAAAACTCTGGACTTGTTGTGATCTTCAACCGCTTAACAGCTTCATCGTGAGTGATCTTCTTCAGATTCTGCGTCATTGAGAGTTGATCGTCCCAGATTCTTTCAATCTCCGCCAAACAGATTTGCTCTTGATCGAAGAGAGGCAAAAACTTGGTGATTTTCTTCACGAAGAACTTCCTGATCATGTTCAAAGGTTGCTTTTCAGCCAATAAACACGCAGAAATGTCATCAAAAGCCCTGAAGTTCTGCTCATCCTTCAAGCGATTGACAAAATTCTTCATCAACCATTTGATGTGCAAGACAATCTTGTTGATAATCACATCATCAAGACGATTGTTAGAGCACAATTTCTCCTGACAAACTGTTAAAAATCTGTTTCTCCAAAGCATCGCCAAAACAATGGACGAAACGAAGCTCTGGGAGTCAATTTCCTGCGTCTTGCTGATCATCAACTCAAAGAATTGCTCCAAATGCACCAAGAAAGGATGTAAATGCCGCAGAAGCTCCTTATCAACAGAATCCACAATGGTTTTATCATTGATGGCCTTTGAGTATGAAATTACATCGATTTCGCTGAAGATCAGGGAGCTTTTCACTTCAATTTCATGCACAAAAATATGCCACATGATCAAGAGAAGTAAGCGATCTTGATCAGATGATAACTTGTGTTGTCTGTAGTCTCGAATCCTCGGGAAGATTCTGTCGTTCCAAGGAATGCTCGTGTTGAAGCTTTCTCTTCTCGTGTCCAGAAAATCAATTATCATCTGAGGAACTTTCTCGTTGATCTTCAAAGCTTTGATCTCCGGCAAATTCTCTTGGATATAAATTTTCCTCTTATGAATGTCATCGAATGAACTCATGTTGTACACACAGAAGAGAAGATATCGCCAGAAATTCTTCTCATTCTTCACTTCAATCGACCCCAATTCACCAGACAATTGCTGAAGAATCTGCACGCCTCTGTCTAGATTCTTGGTCAGACACAAAACAGGTTCACACTGTTGCCTTATTCTGGTCATTAGAGTCAGTTTGTCAGTTCTGAGAATTACATTCTCCAGCGCAAAGCGATTCTCTTCCAACGTGATCAGTTTCAGCTCCGCCACAATCTCTTCTTCAAGTCGATTCCTGTAGAACTTCAGTCCGAATCCCAGAATATCGACATTCGTCGATCTCACATACACTTCAACAGCACAAGACTTGAGCACACTCTTGCTGGGCAGACAGAGAGTTTGATTCTCCACCACGAGCAGGGCAAATTTGAACAGGAAATTCACTCCAAACTGACTAAACTCCGAAATACCCTTCAGTCTCTCATGAATCCTGATCATAGCGTCGATCATGGACAAATTCTGCACGCCAACATCATAGATAATGTGCCTCAAGTCCTCTTTCGTGTATCCATCGCGTTCCATGAAGATCTCCAGGCATCTGTTCCTCATTGCTCGTGAGATTTCGCCATTTCTGGGATCCAGTGTGAGAAAAGCACGGAAATCCTTGTGCTTCTCGATCTCTTCGATGCGATTGTCACTCGAAATTCCCTTCTCAGACAGCAGAAGTGTTCCATTTGGCTCAAAGACAGAATTCAGACGATCCAGAATCGCTGATGAGCACGTATTTACATGCTCAAGACAAATGAATCTTCCACTCTTCAGACACTTCACAATCTTCGAGTCCACCCACTCAAAATGCCCACCAGTGTTCAAACTACTGGATGATTCTGCGATCCTCTTGAGATTCCTCAAAACACTCTCAATTGCATCCTGAAGATCCGATCGATCTCTCAGAATCTCCTTCAGCGTTGCAAAGGTTTTGCTGAGTTGCGCAAGACGATCTCTGAAGAGCTGCACTTCATCGAAAACTGTCATTTCCAGCGAAGATCCTGAAATTATCCACTAAATTAGCTCAAAATCATGCACAAACAAGACAGAAACTCACCGTAAATGTTCTTCATCAGATGATTGTAATCTTCCCACTGACCAATGAGACGCAAAATCGGACGAAGATCCTTCGCATCGTCACACAAGATTACATTCTTCACAGTTGACAGTATTTCCAACTCAATCTTCTTTGCGATCTCCTCAAGATGACGATTCAAGTCGATTTGCTGGAAACTTCCGGTCACGGAATCGTCAATTGTGTCCACTTCCAGGGTTTTACTGAGCAGAGAACATACCAAATCAACACTCTTGGTCTTGCCACAGTCCGCAGGACCGCAGAGAAGCACCGGTCGAGCTAGTTTCACACTCTCCACCATCGTTTTCAGCGTTCCCAACTGAGATTTGAGGATCAGCGGAGATTTCTCGATGTTTTCTCTTCCGTCTGATCGATTAATCTTGATGTCGTTCAGATAAATGTGATCATCTGTCCAGTAGAAACTAACATTCTTCGACATCACCTCAAGATCATCAGCATTAACCATGAACACCTCAGAGAAGGCTTTCCGGAGGAACATTTTGTCAGCTTCACTTCTCATCCTCTCGCCATAAACGATCTTCATCTTCTCATAAACTATCATCACATCGATGTCCTCCTGGCCAAATCCCGTCTCTGGATTGCTGATGAAGTCACACCATCTCATGATATCTCTCAAGTTGATCTCAAAAGGCCCTCCGCGAAGACCAAACTCCAGATTCTCCACTCCCTTGTCCAGGATCTCAGAAAAGCGCACCATTTTCAGCGGCAGATCACCAAGATTGCTGTACTGCGCCTGAATGACATGCAGCAAATCCTCCTGACGCAGCTTTCGCAGATAAACCTTGGTGAATCTGTTGAGAAATGACTGCGGAAGACCTTTCCGCCCTCCGCCCTGCTTTAGAGGATTCTGCGAGGCGAAGATGCGCGTCTTGGCGCCCAGCTTAAACGTCTTGTTGAGTTCTGGAATGAATACTTCGCCACGATGATCCAGAATGGCATTCAATCCCTCCAGTACACTCTGAGGCGCAAGATTCAGCTCATCCAGCAAAATCCACGTGTCTGGAGCCTTCAGAGCTGCCAGCAAAGGTCCATCTCGCCACACAAACGCTCCTCTTGCCGGTGCGTCATTCACGCCCTGATCTTTCACGCCGAACAACTCCAATGAGTGATCATCAGCTGGCAAATCCGTCCCAAAGAGATCCGCCAAGTCTGTGTGCTCACAGAGATTGATTCTCACAATCTTGTGTCCAGTTGCCGCGGCCAAATTCACCACTAGTGACGTTTTTCCCACTCCTGGCGCTCCTTCCAGGAGGATTGCTTTGTTCAGCGTCAATCCCGAGAGCAATTGGAAGAGATTTCGCATGGTTGTTGGCGCCGAGAAGCTGAAATCAATCGGACTTTGTGGGGAAGATTGCAAGATTGGCACGTAAAAAGGATGAATCCCAAATTGATCCTCACGCCTCTCAACTTGATGTCCACGATTCCTGACCAAATCCGTCTCAGTCAATTTCAGCTTCTTCACCAGGAAGTTGATGATCTTCTTCCGGATAACTTCAGTTTCTCCCTCTTCACGGTGCGGCAGCATCTCGAGGAAGTCCAGGAAGAGTGTCTCCAGGCCGTAATAGAGGATTTCCGGGAGAGTCAATCGATTAACATTGACTAGCAGATATTCTGTCCAGGAGACAATGTCTCGGACTGAGAAGTTCATCCTGTCCACTGTCGCTTTCATGTAAAACAGCACTTCCACGATACTCTTGGCCAGATCTTCAGCCTCCGGAAGATTCCCAGCTGCCAAGTGATGAAGGGCGATCTTCTCAAGATGCTCAGGAGAACTTGGACTTGTGCACCAGATTTCTGTGAATCGATTCCTCAGTGCTGGCGATAATTCCTTCTTCCCAAAGTCGCCACCCGGATTCATGGTGGCCAGAAATTGAAAACTCTCGTGAGCTTGGATGATGAAGTCATCATTCGCCTCAGACACTATCAATCCCTGATCAATGCCGCCCTTTTCAGCCAGCAGAACTGTTCTCTCCGGTTCCAGGATTGAGTTTAACCTCTCCAGAATCGAATCATCAGCCAGAGAAATCTCATCTGCCAGGAAATGCGAACCCTCTTGCATGGCCAGCACGAGAGGACCATCAGCCCACTCGAAGAGCTGCTTTGCCTTGGCAGGATCTTCGCTCTTCTGCCCTCTGAATGGTCGCAAACCACCCAGAAAATCTGCCGCTTCGCTGTGCATGTGACAATTGAGAATCCTGAGACTCTTGGCCAGAGTTTCCGCTACAAGCTGACATACTGTCGTCTTTCCACATCCCGTGGGTCCAACGAGAAGCACAGGCTCGTTGAAACTCAGCGCCTTGGCCACTTGAACATACATTCGCAGAATATCGCTGGACCAGTGAATCTTCCCAGATGCTGGACACTTCATCAGAGTCTCCAGCACGTCTTTAGTCACCGGAGACGTTCCCTCGTGGTGATTAAACAGATTATCCAGGCTCGCAACCTTCCTGAAATTGGTCATCAAACTCGCCTGGATGGCTTCCAAATCCGCCTCATTTCTCACTCTCGCCGACAACACCAAATACCCTTCGTCCACGAGATGCTGATTCCAGTCATATCGCACATCCTGCAACAGTTTCTTGTCCGCCAGCGTGTAGCGATTGCCCCAGCGGAAGAGATCTCTCAGCGTGAAATTGCTCCTGGTCACATTCTTCCTGTTCGTGTGCAGTTCCGCCATTGTCTTGACCATCTTCTCAGCATGAGACTTCGGAATCTGACAGCGCTTCTCGAGAATCACCGCCAATTCGTCCCTGGGAATCTCCCCAAAGTGCAGCTCAATGAAGCGATTCTTAAAAGCTCGCGACAGTGTCTTCCTCCCGCCATAAAGTCCCGGAGGATTTTGCGTGGCGAAGAGCATAAAATTGGAATGAGACTTGATCAGTGTCTGAGTTTCTGGGATAAACAGCTCTCTATTGTCGTCCAGAACGCGATTCAGTGCCTCTAGAATGTCACTAGAGGCGAGATTGAGTTCGTCCAAGATGATCCAGTAGCCGTGGCGCATTGCCTGGACAAGGACACCCTCCTGGAAGACCAATCGGCCTGTGACATCAGCTGTGTAGGTGCCAATGTACTCCTGAAGATCCGTGTGCTCGTGATTGTTGATCCTCAGACAGTGATTGCCAGTCCTCTTGGCCAAGTACTCAATCAAACTGGTCTTTCCGGCACTCGTTGGGCCTTGAAGCAGCACTGGAAGCCTCCCAAGAGAGACAATCCTCGCCAGATCCTTCAAATTCTGCCTCACACTCTCAGTCAAGATGTACGAACTGATCTCTTGCGGCTCCTTCTCACCATACTCAATCCAGTATCCCTCGAAGAACTCACACTGCTCCGAAGTCTTCGGTATCTGATAAGACAGCACCGCCTTCACGCTCTCTGGAGATCCCAGGAGGCTCTTCTGGATGAGTTGCAGCACGGTTTTGTGCGAAGCAGTGTCCAATTGGGAGAGGAAGCTCATGCAGAAGCTCTCGTACAGATTTCTCTGCACAGATCCACAGAGATTCTTGGCACAGCAGGTCAGGGCGCGACAAAGAGTTCTCAGAGAATACACCGGACGATTTCCCAGTCCATCATTCAGCTCCAGTCTCGCCATCTTCCGCAGTTTCCTGTAAAACTCCACCACATTCATCACTTTCCCCGTCTGAATGCCTGTATTCTTCAAGTAGTCTCCAACCAGGCATCTCAGATCGTTCACATCCTTCAGTTCATCCACAAAGAACTCAGTGAATCTATTCCGGATGCCCACAGGAAGATCCTTCTTCCCGATGTCCGTGTTCGGATTCATGCAGGCGAAGAGTCGGAAATCCGGATGTCGTTCCACAGGCACATAATCACCCTTCTCCAGCAGCACTATCGATCCATCTGGCTCAAGGATCGTGGCCAGACACTCCAGTGTCTCCGTGGAGGCGAGATTGATCTCATCCAGAAGGATCCACTCGCCGTTCTTCAGACAATTTACCAGAGCGCCCGAAATGAAGGCGAAAGACATGTTTACAGAGCTCTTAATCTGACTGGACAAATTCACCAGCTTATCCTCAAGTGTCTCCCAATTCTCCCTCATCTTCGGTGGCATCTTCACGCCAGCCTTCGACTCGTAGTTCTTCATTGTGTGCTCCACAATTTTCAGCATCGTCTTGAAGAGTGTCTTGTAACGCCTCTCGGAGAATGTCTTGATCATATTGGCGAGGAACTTCTCGTTCTTGTCAGCGTCAAAAGTCGTCCTGACCAGATATTGGAAGTCCGTGAAGATCGGCGTGATGACAAAGTGGAGATCAACGGGCTTGAATCCTCCGATGAGATCGGAAATGTCCGATTGGTTGTTCATGTTCACCACAACGAGATTGTGGGCAGTCTGATGTGCCAGATACTGGACAGCGCTTGTCTTTCCCACACCAGTCTCACCCACCAGGAGGATTGGCTCGTTCTGAGCCACCGCCACAGATATCCTCTCCAGCAGACACGAAGCCAACCTCGTGAAGGAGAACGTTGGAATCTTCCTCTCCAGAATCTTCGTGATTGACTTCACTTGTTGGCTGTCTGTCTTGAATCTCTTCGAACTCTCCTCATCTTCGGACACCTTCTTTCTCTTCCCGCCATCTTCACACCGCAAGCGACTCATTTCCACCCTCCCAACGCGAATTGCTGCGGAATCCACCTCAATTTCTGGCTTGTACTCTTCCGCCAGTGATTGACATCGTGACTCAATGATGCCCAACTTCGCTCCAATCCTCTTCACCAACTCAGTCTTGTCGCCACCATCAGGCAAGTGCGAACAGAGAAGATCCACGGAGTTCTGGAACACAAGATAAGCGCATTCCGTGCTTGTCACATTGAAATTCGACACAGATCTCATGCACAGCTTCAGAAGATCTCTCGTCGACACCTGACGTCCTGAATTCGTCACTCCACTGACCACTTTCCTCTCCTCCTCTTCATCCGTGTGACAACCACTCGAGAATGTGAGGAAAACATCCACAATCCTGCTCGCAATTGTCGTCAGCTTAGGGAATTTCTCTCTTACAATCGTGCAGAGTTCTTCTCTGGACAGTGACAAGATGTTCACGGTGAAGAGATGCTTTTCCAGCAGTGAGAACAGAGCATTCACTCCGCTGCCCATCTTTTGAGATCTCAGCGTGATGAAGAGTTGAAAGCCTGGCGCTATTCTCAAGTTTTCCCGAAAGCCAGGAACACTCAGAGAGCCATTTTCCAGGAGATTTGTCAGCACAGTGCAAACATCTGACGTTGCAAGCTCCAAATCCTCCAGCAAAAGCCAATATCCGTTGATGATTGCCTGCGTAAGGACGCCAGGCTGCCAGATAAACTCCCCTGGAACGTCTGTGCAGCGATGCTGACCCAGAAGCGCCTTACTGTCCGTCTGGTGACCGAGTTGAATCCTCAGAAAACCATTCTTCGCTTCACTGCCACTTGGTTTGGGCGGAATTCTACCAGTTCTCCTGGCCAATTCATCAACCAGAGTTGTTTTTCCCGATCCAACTGGCCCATGAAGGCAAATTGCCTTTCCCGATCCGATTCCCAGGCACAGATTGCGAATATTGCTCTTGGTCGATTCCACGAGGATGAGTTTGTCTGACTCCTCGTGAAACTTCCTGTTTTCACCATCAAAAACAGCCAAATAAACTCCCTCGACGTTGATCACGCTTTCGCAAGTGAAATCCCACGTGATTTTCTCTCCTGAATTGCTTTCCTGCTCTGATATTATCTCACATACCTGATTATCTGCTGTCAAGTCTCGAGACAATTTCACATCCTCAGGAAGGTTTCTGTTGAGGAACTCCAACTGACTGATCGACATGTTGGTCAGAATGGTGAGAATTTCATTGCAAATCCTGGAAAGAGAGGCAAATTACTCATCTGAATAATACTAGGATGTTTTAACTTACATTTTCTGGAGATAACAGCCTTTGTTCAGGAAGTTCTCCAAGAATTTCGACCATTTCCAGGCATTTCTAAAGAAAATTGTGTCCGCTTTCAGAAATCTCAGACAAGCTTTGACAATTTCCAGATCGGGAACGTCATCAATTCCTCCTCGGCGCTTTTTCTTCGGCACCTCATCCACATAATGGTCAAATGGTGAGGAATTCTTGCTGAAGAACGTGAAGGAAAACCTGAAAGCAACCAAAATATAGTGATTTTGAAGCGTCTCGAAAAAAAAAGCGTTTTTACCTCAATATCGCCTTGTTGTATGTCAACAATTTCGATAGGGCGACACAATTAGACTTGTGAATCTTTATTCTTTCTTTAGACTGAATCTTCTCAGTTGCTTCTGGGGCGCTTCCGAGACTTTCCGACACTATCAGCAGCAAAACATCTCGGAATTCTCTTCCAATGTGTTCTGTGTACTCGGGATGAGTGATCTTTTCAGTCAAATAGTTGAAAATCCTGTTCACAGCCTTGTCGTCCCACTTCTGGAAGAAAAAGCAGAGGAAATGTGGGTAAATTCGTAGAAAAACTAGCCATTTCAGCACCCTAAACATACCGATAACCTCAATATTCTCCCCAACTCTTCATCACTGTTTTTCACACTTGTCTGCACGTTTTGGAGAGCTTTTCTCCATTTGTGCACGTCCACCTCCATTCTTGATCACTTCTAGTCACAATTACTCGATGAATACGCGGATAATTCACGATTGTCGGCAGGAAAACAAGAGCATAGGATTTTTCATGTGCGCTCTTGTAAATAAACCAACACGTGTGTAACTTCGGTACCACTCACCCGTGGCGCTGCTGTCGTTTTCGCCGCGGAATTTCAATCGTTTGCAGACAACTTCAGTTCAACGCTGGTTGTCAAAATTGAAGCTGGTCGTTTGGTGTTTTCCGCCTGATTTTCTCTGTGAATTTTCACCATGGCGCTGCGTGAACTCATCGAGGAGTGGAACAAGGTGATGCCTATGATAAATGAGCGTCAATTGCTGGCGCCCACGGAGGAATTTCTCATAACATGCTGCGGAAATATCCTGAACAGAGTGAACCTGAAAGTGCCTCAGAATGTGAGTTCGTCTTACTTTTGTCCAAGAATGAAAGCTAATAGCGTTTATTGATCTTTACAGCTAGCATCCGAGGACAAAGAATTGCAGAAGAAGGCCAGACTGAAGCTGTGTCACATGGTGGATAATTTGTACAAGTTGTCCGAGAAGAAGAACGGATTCTTCTATCTGGATCTTCTGGAACCGTCGCCAAAGCGCACTCTTCATCTGCTTCAGAATCTCCTGAACTACGTTCTCTTCTACGAAATGATGAAGGAAGAGATGATGAGCAAGTGCAAGGATAAATTTGCGAGATATGAAGAATTGAAAACGCGCAAAATAATCCTCCAAGGTCAAGTTGAGGAACTGAAGATCCTGCAGGAGAATCAGAAGCAGCAAGAGAAGGATTTGCGGGCTCAAAATGTCGAGCTATCAGCTGAGATCAGTCGCAAGAAGGCGATACATGATGATTTGGAGGAGAGGATGAAGCTGTGCGTGAAGAAAACCGAGGAATTGAAGAAGAAACACATGGATTTGCAGATGGACATGGATAAGATGAGAGTGGATTTGATTCCCAAGGAGGAGATTGACAGTCTGGAGAAGCAGCTGGAGATGGCGCAGAAGGATACAGAGGAGCTGAAGATCACAATTGCCACGATTAAAGCCAACACCGACTCCTTGATGCAGGTGAATAAGAATATCGCTGGTCAGTTGGCTGTCTATGAGGATTTCCTTAAGGACATCAATCAGGCAGGAAACTTCCTTGAAGCCACGGAAAGTTGCTCGCGCGAACTCGACGCAGAGATCAATGAGCTGAAGCAGGAGCTTGAGGACAAGACTTCTATGCGCAAATGCCTGATGGAAGCTGTTGAGGCCAGAAAGAGTGAACTTGCCGGCCTGAAGGAGGATCTCAGGAACTGCACAGCGCAGCACAATAAGGAAATCCTGAAGCAACAACAAGCGTTGAAGGCTAAGATGAAGGATAATGCAGAGCTGGAGAAGAGCTTGGCTGATCACATTCGAAAGCTGATCCAGATGAGGCACGATTCTGCTCAAGCTGAGCATTTCGCCTATGAAATGCTCAGGATGATGAAATAAGTTAGCAAACAATTTGTGGTAATTTAATATGTACTTGCAATGAATTGCTCTAATTTACAATGAGTTATATTTTATTTTCTTATCTACCTTCTTGAATCTGTGTGCAATTTAGGGGGCTTTCGACACAGCTTCTCATGGGTTTTTTCTTTAAGTCGCATATTTACAAAGGGGATTCTTTATTCTTCTTGGGTGTAAACTCTTGCCTTCTACCGCAGAAGTGATAGCAAAGGGCGTAGCCAGGCTCAAAAAACACATTCAAGTCATCTTACACGTTCTTTAACACTAGATTTACCACGGAATTTTCATCACTAGATCTACCAAAATGACATCTTTTGACACATTTGATTTTAGTCGATTGAGAAACAGTGTTAAAAGGATTCATATTGGTAAATCTGAGGATTTTGTGTCTAAGAAATGCAGGTTTCGGGAGACGATTGATATACATTCTTTTTACATTCTAATAATAATACATATGAATTACCACTAATTCCAATCAAATTCTTCCTTACTTATCTAAAATCTTTACATTGTAAGCTAGAAATTGGTAATTTTTACACTCTCATGGTAAATCCAAGGTTAACAATGTTTGCAAACTAGGCTCACTCTCGTCCTGAGTAACTGTTTGCATTGACAATTCATCTGTTGTCGTTACAGTGCTTTAAAGCCTCTCATTAACCACTTGTGGCATTTTCCCATTGCTAAAGCCTTGCATAGAGGAATCGAAGATTCTGTTCTTTGGATCTTTCCTTTTAGGTTTAAATCTAGTGGATCCTGTGAACAGTGCTTAATGCAGGATCAATAGTTCTTAATTTATTACATGCATTAACTACTTTCCACGAAGTCTCTTGGTGTTTTTCTCGACGATGTAGAACTGCTTTACATCAGATTCTCCAATCAAATCGATAAACTAAGCGAAGATGTGGGCGGGGCTTTAATGTGGGCGTGGCTTACTCAGGAAAGTGTATTGCTTTTCGCCTCTTCTTGGCTACGCCCATGGAAGTTAGTTACAGTTTGTTTGGCTCAAAAAGGGTGATTTTGGGTGTAAAATGTGATATGTTGCTCTGGCATTGTTCCGAAAATTGTGTGTGTGGAAAAGTTTTTGGAAATGTGATCCAACAATGAGAGTCTCAAAGCGAAAATTGTGTCCATCCTCTGAGAAAATCATCAATTTCTCACTGGGTTGTGAAGAGAGAGAAAAAGTTTTCAAGTGCGTCACAAATGTACCATTAAAGCACACACGCAATTTGCAGAAGAATACAAAATCGTCGTCAGAAACTCCAGAACAGCTTTTATATTTGTTGTCTTAAATATTTCATTCAATTTCCCCGGGAGCTTCTCAGTATCAATTGAACAATTTTTCGGCCACCCACGCGGATTTATCGTGAGAAATGGCAAAAGTATAAATTTATGTATCTCTCAGACAACATTATGGTTGCCTTCTGAAGTTGTGGAAGAAAGAAGTTCCTTCTTCTTCTTTTATGGCACACGAACTCACCGAAGTGGATCTCTGGCCATGGCTCGCATTCGTGAGAATAGTTTCTGTTACACTATTTTATTTACTTCTTGAGAAAATTATTAAAAACTTCTCTCCCGCCCCCAAATTGAGCGGGTTATGTGTGGATGCTGGGGAAATGGGAAAACTTTTTCTTGATTTAATTTATCTTATTTTCTCTCACTCGAATAATGAAAAATGGAAACCGAGCTTCGCGCTGTGGGATGAGGTCTTTCTTTCGACTTTCTCCACTTTTCTTCTTATTTTTTTCCCCCCAAGGTTTCCTCTTCCTCTGCAGGGCGGTTTTTTTTTCCCTCCATCTCGGCACTGTTTTCACGAGAAACTTTCTCACACAATAAATGTAGCCATTTTCATCTCAATTTTATTCCTCAGCGCGCAATGGTAGCGGACTTTTTTTTCCTGCAATTTAATTTTTCCTCCAGCTCAGATTAGGAAAAGGTTTGTCCAAATTTACTTTCAGCAAACCAGGTAAATCGCCCCAGAAGTGATCAGCAGAAGATGCGCTTCGATTTCGTTGAATTTCTCCACTAAGAATGATTTTAATCAGCTCCCAAAGTTTCATCTCTTAAGTCAGCATAAAGTTTTTGAGAATATTTTTGGCGTTCAATAAGAACTTTCAAAGACGCCTAGATTGTAGATTTAACGCAAATCATGCTTAAAGAGCATTTTTGATAATTCTGCAATTTAGGGTGAGGCAAAGCTATTTTGTTCAGTGCGATTTATTCATTATTTGTGATCAATTGTTAAAATTGCTAGGAAAAAAAATTGATTAATTATACATTTTTTCGCCTCAAACTGCGCTTTCTCAATCATCAGATTTTGTGATTTATTAAAGAAATTTGTGTGTCCGAAAGTGTCCTGCTTTTCTCTAATGCTAAGCTCATGAGAAGTTGGAAAAATCTCTTGTTTTTGCACAAAATCTCCAATTTGAATGAATCTTAGTGATAAAAAGAAGGCATGAAGATTGCAATTTAGTTTAGATCTTTCGTCTGCATATTTCAAATACTTCCTCAACTTGCTGGCAATTATCTAGCATTATTATTCATCTTGAGTGAGAGGTGAAGAACTTTTTTCCGAGGATTAGGACTCCTAATCTGTCAGTCATCATTGCAAGGAATTGTGGAGGAAGAAAGCTCTTGACATGATGAGAAGAGAGAGAGTGTGAAAAATTCAGTGAAATAATATTTTTGCTTGGCGTACAAAAGTTTTCCCATTCCTTGTGACATGGAGTGAAAAATTAAGTTAGTTACTTTCGCATGAGAAGCATAAGTATTTTCCCTATAGTATTATTGATGATTTCCTCGCGAGTGGAAGATGAATCTGTGTGTATTCAACAAGTTCACATTATTCGTCCGTTCCTGGGAATTGCTGCAATCTCAAGTGTCAAAGTCACTCCAATTCTGCGTGAGCGCAATTCGCGTCGCACTTTCATCTCGCATGACTGAAGAAGTGGGTGGCAGAGTGGGCGCACGGCCAAATGTTGGTGGCGAACTGCACTAGAAATGTCACAGCAATGAATGCACCACAGATCCTTGTGCTTTCCGCTGAGTTGTGTTGCATCGCTGCAGGATGTTCTCCTGAAAGGGGGAGAAAAAAAAGAACGGATTTGAGTTACAAAAGGCTCTCTCTTCAGTGCCATAAAAATGATCCCGATTAAGTGTGTTTATGATAGAGAATTTAATTATCAAGATTCCCTCCTTGCAAGGAGGATAAAGCCTCAGAGTGTATACACCTAATAAATCTCCCTCTCGCCACACCCCAATTTCCCACCATTTCCCATCCTCTTGCCACATCTTCTGGGGCCTGAGAAACCAAAGTGTATGCTTGAAACACTCACAAGATTGTTCCCAATTAAATTCCGACATTTCAAGCAAAATAATTTCCATCATTTCTCTTTTCAAAGTAAAACACTCTCTTAAATTTTCTCCAAACCACACTGACGATGGCGAGGGAAGTGGGCTATAATAAAATTTCACGGAAAGTTGGTTGCTCTTGACAAACTTTTCATACTGCATTTGCATTTGTCATGGTTAAAAATTCACTTGGGAAAATGGAAAAGATATGACAGAATTTTTCCCTGTCATTCTTTCACCATTAAATTCATGTGATGCTCCAATTTATTTGGGCGTTGAGGAATTCCCAGGAAATGTTTTTCACTTTTGTTGTGTAGCAAATGAAAATTCAATGGGAAATATGGAAAGATTAAGTGAGATATTTTGAATTATTTTGTTATGGAAATTAACTGAATTTTTCACGTTATTTAGCGAGGTTTTGAATGTTTTGCATGATTTTCAATTCATTATTTTACTCCTGATATTATTTGTGTGGCTTTTGGTGGAGTTTAAATTCTAAGTAAAAATTCTACTTTAAACTGCTGCTTCAGATTTTCAAAATCGATTGATATTGCAAACGTGGCCGTAATTTCACTTCCAAACTTCGCGATCTTAACGCCAAATACAACAAATCTTGGCAAGTTGTACCTCCTTGAGTGTCTTTTGCGTGTGAACAAAGAGGTTTTTTTTCCCTCTCGTGCTGCTCAATTGTTAAATCCCCGCCATTGTTTATCCTTTATTTATGCCGTTCACGAGGAGAATACAACAATAATATTCATTATCTGGCCGTGGAGTGGGGCAAATCTTCCCACTCAAGATGGAACTTTTCACTACGATAGTGCGGAGCCCCCGAAAAAAGCAACACCCTCTCGGCATTGTGATACAAGAATGGGAGTTGTGCTTAGAATACAGCAGGAAAACACCATCTAAGCACCATAAATCCACAGAGACAATGGGAGGGAGAGGAAGCGACTAAATTATTGTCTCGTAAATAAATTTTTAAGTTTTCTCACCACTTCGCAGTGTTGCAATGGTGAGATATTCTCGAGCAGGGATGGAATTGGGAAATATGTATCTCGCGGTGGAGATACAAAATCTGGCCCTAGAGTTGACAGGGAATCCTGAACATTGGGCGAATGAATGCGGGACGCGCCGGAGGTTGGAGCATATTTTCAATATTTACGACAAACTTATTCAAATCTTGATCATATCCATGGCCAGGGTAGGAGTGAAATATGGGAGAAAGAGAGTCTCTTCTCGAGCCTGGGCTATAAAACAGAGAGGCGCATTTTTTTTTCCACCGTGGAACCTCTGTGCGCACTTCCAGTCATTTATTTGCCATTCAATTTCCTCCTCTTTTCGCCCAGTTTTCGGTGGGGAGCAATTTTCACCGATTATTTTTCAGTCGCCGAGATTGCGAGGGTGGAACTTTTTTTTATGGCCACTGATTTCAATTCTATTCCCAAAAATCATCAATCATGTGTTATTTTTCTGCGAGGACAGCGTGGCGTGAAAAAAGTACAACCCCATTGGAAAATGATACCGAAAGTTACCTACAAAGCTTAGGCAAATTTTCGCGATGTTGATGGCGTGAAAATTGCCAAAACTGCCCCCTCACCACCACTGCGTGTCCTGCGGCTCTGAATCACAAATAAATGAGATTTTAATCTGTTTCACCAGGCGCCTCCATCAAGTAGGGGAGCTTTTCGCACTGTCAATTTCTTCTGTGGGGAATTAATTTATTGAAAAGTCATCAGCCACTCATTGTTGCTCTATCAATACATTCGGGCGCGCTTCCTTATCTCCTGATGAGCACAAAGAGCCAGAGAGATGTCGTGGGAAAAAAGCACGGAGGAGCATTGGCTCGAAGGTTAATCCTTTAGAGGGTAATCAAGTTCCCTGACCACTCAAAATAATTAACTCACTTGTCTCTTCAGCTCATCCACACGAATGGCTACTTGCTATTCCGAGGCGAGGAAGCACATCGTTTGTCTCGGTGGAGGAATTGATGGGAAAATCGCCAGAGTCGCTGGGAAAGCTCTTGTTCAATTGTCAAGTCTCATTTTCAAAATGAGTCTTGGCCTCAAATAGTTGCCTTTATTATGCCAGAGATTCCGATTGTTTTTATTCCACACAAATTCTTCCCATCTTTCTCAACACATTCCCTTGCCCAGAACCTTCCCAGCGACCCAAAGTGACCGCATGAGCACGCCAAAGTATCCAGAAGTTGTGCAAGAACCTGATCTGGCAAGACAAATAGACAACACGAGGTGTATTCACGTACGCTCGGGATTTGATTTATATGTCAATCGGGGAATTGGCTCGAATTCCAAGGAAGAAATATATGCAGGACTATTCCCCGAATTGGGATGAAGATGAATTAGAATTCACACGAGTGAATGCGGCAAAATCCCAGCAAAATTGCATGAGAGATTATCGTGTGTTCGCTTCGAGTCGCCCACTAAAAAAAAAAATATTCCACAGCGGAAATAATCCATCAGAAGACGATGACTTACATTTCTCTGGTGCTCAGGCACATTTTTTCCATCTCCCCCATCTCTAGGCATTGGGCAAATATGCCTCTCATATAGCAGCACAACAATTTCCGGAACTTAAATGAAAATATTCCAGCCAGACATTGCCAAGGAGAGCATTTGCTGGGCAGTTTCTCAGGGGCTCGTGGACCGGAAAACCATGCAATACTGTCAGGGGTTTGTCGGGGAGGAAATATGGCGATATTTCTTGGAATATCGTAATTAAAAATACTGATAGTTTCTCCCATGAGCTGGTTTAATAATCAATTTTCATCTCTGAAAACCATCCTCATGCGATTTAAGAGAGAAAAATTCTCAATCCAGAGCTTAAAGCTCTCAGCTGGGAGAGAAGCGTCATTAGGCGGATGATTCACTTCTCCACCCCTTCGGATGGTGAAAGTTGGAAAATAATAACAGCAAAGGTAATACAGAGACAGTAACAAGGCGTCTGACGAAGATAATAAATTTTATTGGCTTCCTTCAGTCCAACCATAAAAGATAATTGAATTTATTTCACTTTACATGCCACCTACACTCTGTGCAACTTGAGAGCCATATTCCTCCGATACGTGGCCGAAGTTGACATGATCCAAACCGCACTGGTCAAATCCTGGGTGGAGGGAAGGACACATAAAATATACACTCCCGGCCTCATTCAAATTTAACCAATGCCACATCTTGGCGAATCACGAGAGAATGAATCGATTGATGTCGCTCTGGAGCCAAGGAATTTTCTCTAAATTTCCTGTTGACACTATCACCCTATTCGAATCATTTCACCATTGAATTCTTCATGAACTCCCAATCGTTAGAATCTCTCTTGGGGTGGTGATAAAATGAAGCGCCGCCATTCTTGCAAGGCTGCGAGAATGGAGAGAGGAAAATATAAAGGTCACCGGAAGATTTATTGAGAATTCAAAATTTAATTTCACTCAGCTCTCAACAATTACACTTTTTTCCCAATTCTCCCTCGAATATTCATCAAGAGAGCTCTAGCTCTGGAGTACATTATTAAATTCACTGTGAAAATATGTCAAGTGAAAGCGGCATAAATTTTTTTTTTTATTAAATTGTGAATTCACAGTCAATTCCTTGTACTCTTTTGTATTGATCTCCAGTGTGCAGTTTAGTAGAACTTCCAAAGTGAAAGCGTCTGGATTTTGTGGCTCTAAACTTTGTGTGATTTGAGCATGAAAATGTTGTACTGTGATTTCAAGATAATTATTTGTGGGGTTGCACAAGGAAAGGTGCATTTTCATGGGTTGGAGGTTTGGTCATAAACTTTGAGGAAAGTCTCATTAGAACATCAGGTGAAAACTCACCCTTAAAGGCGTCCGAGGGAGAGAGAGAGAGAGGACTTTTAAATTATTTAATTAAATTTCACAAACAATTTGTTTGCACAGTGAAAGTACATGATTTGTGATTAAATTCTCGGTGTTTTGCTAATCGCTTTTTATACCTTCGTCTGGGTTGAATTAATTATACAGTCTCGCATTGGCGCCATACTTCCCCAGGCGAGAAAATAATTTCTCCCCTCTGATATTTTTACAGGTGAAATTAGCATGTGAGTGTATTAAGCTGAGAGGCAGCAAAAATGCAGAACCTCAGCAAAATGTGTATTGAATACCATGAGAGGGATGGAATTTCCTCAAGTCTAATGCTCCGAATGCCTCATAAACCTGTGTACACACATTTGCAGGCGCGTGGTTGCCTTTGGAGAATTTACTGGGGATAAAGGCTCTCTCAAAAGCCAGCCGATGTGTGAAGTGTTTCACATAAAAAGCTCCAAGATCGTATCGCCAATTAGTGTGTTATGTGACTTGTTATCGAGCTGCCAGGCACGAGTATCCTTCAGCGTGTAAGATGAGAATGGGGAGAAATCATCCGTTCCGGATTCATATAGCAAAGTAAATATTTGTCCCTTTGCTACACAAAACCATAAACATGTGGAACTCCACGAGAAATGTTAGTTCAGTAGCCCAAAAGCTCTGTATTTTCGGTAATTCGATAAGCACATGGATTCACAAAAATTTCCTCCCCGATTTTTCGCCCCTCCTCTGATCATTTTCCGGGAGGCAAATGCATGAGCGGTAAACAAGTGTGTGATTCGAAAAGAAGGATAATATGAGATTAACTCAGAATCTGTTTTAATGCACATTTCATCCCCCCCATGAATTGACGTAAAAATCATTAAGTCACTCACCAATAATTACGTGCACATAAACACTTCCTGGCTTGGCAACATTTGTGGGCACACAAGAGTAATTTCCCGTGTCGCTGGGCACAGCCATTTGGATGATCAATCTGTGAAAAAAAGCGGAAAAAAGCCACCCTCACGTGAGTATGGAATTTTGAGAACATCCCTTTGACCCTCGCCATGGTGGTGGCTTGTTGACGGTCGGGATTAATGCAGGTCTTCTGTTCTAATCCGACCATGGGTGGGATTGAAGGGGAATTTGTGCTGGCAGCTGAAAGCCGTGCTAGAACAATCAAATGATATTTACCTGGAAGTCAATCCATCCACCCAATCAGAGTCTATTGTTATTCTTTGGGTTTTGTCAGCATAAACTTCATTTGCATGTGTTGCTTGCAGCAATTCAGCACCTAGTCATTGAGTAAATCGCTTTAGATTTGTTGCGAAGGGTTGATTTGCAAGAACACACTCATCAAATAGAGTGTCTGATGGGTTGGGTGAGAGGCATTCAATTAAACTGATTAACTTTGCTAATTGAACAAAAACACATTTTGCGACAAATGCTCTTCTGCAGCACTCACCTTTGTACCAGAACACATTGCCCAGATCATGTGGTCCTTGTGGTATTCGGCAAACAATCCGAATGCTACTTCCCGATTTCACGTACATGTCCGATGGTCCAAGCACCGTGGCTCTCAGTTCTATTGCCGCCGCCAACCAGTATGTCACATGGAAGGAGAGAAAGGACGAAGAGTGAGAGAGAGAGAGTGATAAAAAGGAGCATAATTACAGTCATTTTTACAGCTTTCAGATACGCTGCAAATTAAAATTGAAGCCATGAAATGGACTGAATTTCATTACACACTTCATTCACGAGTTGTCAAAATTTCCACCCCAGATATCAGATCTCTAATGGGGAACTTTTACTCTGCACTTTCTCTTCTAATTTCGTCAAATTAGCGCTGGAAAAATTCCCATCACATCCGCGCATAGCTGAGGTCAGAAAGCTCAGCATAGCATTCCATTAAAACGAATTATCAGTATATTCACTGACCCTTGGCCTAACGAATGTTCGTCTATTGCAAATAAATGAACCATAAAAATAACAGACAAACGAAGGCAAAAAGTGTGTTGAAAGAATAAATTAAAATATGTGTGTGTGTGTGTGTTTTTATTGTGAAATCTATTATTATTTCACCGTGCTGAAATATCTGTTTTCAAAGTGCAAAATGCGCCAATGGATGAGTTTGAATGGTCAAAAACCAAGAGTGAATGGCAATAATTTCAATTGAATTTCAACAAAAATAAATGGCTATTTTTCCACACGCGCTTGGTATTTCCCCCCATCAAAAGCAATAGAGAAGGTGCATTGTGGAAAATATTTTGGGTTGAATGAAGGCTTTTGTATGCAAACTAAGCAAAAAGTTCCTACCGTACATTTCACATAATTCATCCACATGAGTGCGCGTTATATGTTAAAATGGCCCTCTATCAAATATGTTTCAATTCTCTCCAATGGCACTCATGAATAGGATTTTTTGTCTCATTCCGCTGTTTTGGCATTTATTTGCGTTGCAATCATTTTTTCGCTTGGGAATGCGATAGTGATTTTGTGGGTGCACAAAAGCTCACATATGCTCATGACGTTTGCCAGAATTAAAGATAGGAAGCTTAATTATTACTTCGTTCGTGTTGGAGCATCAGCCATTTGTATGTTCGTTCCGAGGATTTTCAGTGATTTATCCATCATCAGAGGAACAATAGAAGAGCTTTAATACATCAGAAACTTTAAACTCTGCGAACTAATTACTGTATTTGCACGCTTCTTGATCAAATTGTCGATAAAACCACTCAATGTTGGAAATTATAAGCCGATTTTTTGGATTGCACGGTGGATTTTTCCACGCAATGCGTGGCATAAAGCATTTTCCAACTGCCGAATGGAGATTGAAATGAATGCGCCGGAGTCACTTTTCACGCAAATTTGTATGGAAAACATATTTCCCTCTCGCACAGCACATTGAATAAACAATTTCATTTTGGGGCGCAACATATTATCTTTCCAATTGAATATGTGTTTTTGAGAATGTTGCACTATCAATGGGAAACATGTCGAGTGGGGAGGGAAAAAAAAACAACATCGCGGGAGTGAAAAAGGGATGCGCCGAGCATTTTATTTGGCAGTCTATTTGTGCTGAATTTTGTATGTGTCAGGGCTTTCGGGGAAAATTTCAATATACAGCTTTTAATGAATTTTCCATGAGACACGAGCTGGAGGAAGAGTGACTCGTGCAGTTGGAAAAATGGACTGTCTCAGAGTATCAGCATAAATGCAGGAGTCCAGCGAGGATTTATTAAATATTCAGCCATCGTGACACATCATGATGAGCCTTAAGATGCAGAGATTGAGTCGGTCAGAATCCGGAGCGTGCAATAAAATATCGAAATGCTTAATGCTGTTGTTTGTACACTCTCGTGTTGTTCATTTGACTCTCTGGTGAATCCATTAGAGACAAATGCAAAAAGAGTCCCTTTTTGCTGTATTCCGTGCAATCAATTTAGATTTGTTTGTTTATCCTCTGCTACTCGTCGTGATTCTCATGTAAGTTATTTGATGACAAACAGTGAGACGCGCCCAGAAAATAGAGAATGAAATCATACAAGAATTTTCGGGCGCAAACATTCACTTTGAGCTCCTCGCTCATCTAATAATGGTCTTGTGGGGAGATGAAAACATGAGCGTGGAGACATGAAAATGGCCCCGAATCATACATTCAGACAATGTACCATTCGGCCATAGTATGAAAAGTATGGATTTTTGGGATGGGGAAGGAGAGAAAGGAGAGAGAGAGAGAGAGAAAGCGCAGACATTTTCTTTAATAAATAAAATTACCATTCTTCCCACTCACTCGCATCGCTCCGGGATATATTCATTCCATCAGGGCGAGGAAGTGTCGCTATAAAAATTTTATTACATCTCAATACGTTCACCCTGTTGCAAGTCACACGCAAGGAAGCTCCGCACTTTGAACAATTCATGAGATGCTTCGCATGGGGAGCAAGAAAAATCCGCCATTCACTGCGCGAATGGAATCAAAGTCTCTGGCATCGGGAGAGCTGTCTATTGCGATGATGTCGATGGATTATTGTGTGAATTCTGAGCTGTTACGCCCACAATCGTAGATTTTCCGCCACTTTCCCATCAAATGTTTGCTCCCAATGGATCTTCTCTCTTTCTCTCTGGGCCTTACTTCAAATTAAACCGAGACGGAATCCATTTAACCGTATAGATTCTCTTTTGACCATACTTTAAGCGAAGAGAAAACATTGAAAACCAATTTTGTATGTATATAAAATGAAAATTTCCCTCTCAAATCGCGTCATTGCTGCACGTCTTTTCGGTGCGTTGAGGCAATTTAGAGAATGCTTTCATATCAAGCCAAGAGTGAAATTACGTTTAGAAAAGACGGAAGGTAAATTGCTTAGCCCAACTTTTGAGGGTGAAAACGGTGAAAACATAAGGGAAAAGATACCTTAAAATTGCTTTTTGATTTAAATAAAAAGTTGCTGGGTTCGTTATTTTGAATTAAACTTTCTGCATTTTGCCCGTCTTCACTCATGATGCACTCTCCTTATTCCTTTTTCCCATTTTCTCCGAGTGCAAGAGGATTTCTACTTCTCTCTCTCTCTCTCTCTCTCCCTCTCTCTCTCTGTAACTATGTTAGCAAAATTGCGGTTTTGTTTTCAATACACTCAACTCCATGTGAGCAACCCACATTTTAATGGGAATCCCTGCGGAAAGTGCAGAGCATTTCTTCAGCTGGGCGAACAAAGCGGTAAAATATTTCACTTAGCAAAGAGACAAATGTAATTTGTGTAGATGCGGAAGAAAAATTAACCATTTGGGAATTTCCTGTGGGAAAATTTACGGTTAAATCTTCATTTCACGCCCAAGTTGCTCACTGAAAATTCCACCTCCAGCTTGCTTTTTAAAATCTCATTTTCACAATTTTTACACCACGCTCCTTTTCCACGCAAATCATGCCAATTTATCTCACACTGGGCGCGCGAGTTTGAGGGATGTAAAAGGGAATGCGATCAGCCATAAAGGGAATGCGTGGAATTAATTGTGTGTGTGTGTTTTGCAGAAAGTGACTAGCCAAGCTTGCACAGCTCGTGGGTGGTGGATTATAAAGATTGCGCTGTAAAAAGTAAAGTCTAGATAATTGTGGCAATTAAGTCATAAATATCGTTATGGCTCATGAAAAAGTGTCTTCATGGGTACATGAAAAGCAACTCAGACACTCATTTATGCGCTCCCCAAACCTGGCAACAATGTTGAAAAGTGCATTTAATACCATCTCCCGCTCTCGCCATTCTTCGTGGACTGCGCCAAAACCATCAAGTCGCAGCATAAAATATCGCAGGAGAATAAATCTGTTTACAATGATTTCCTGTCTGCATAGTTTTTTTTTACTGCCCGCGCGCCGCACACGTTCAATGGCCCAACTTTTGGGGTGGATTGGCGAGTGTCAGACGTCCAGGGTAAATAACGTGAAATAGAGCCACTTCAATAGATTCCATTTGTTTGCATCCTCATCCATGGACTTTTATACCCCAGCTCATGATGCTGGACTATAAATTTTTGAATGGCGAGTGTCATAGTTGAGGGAATTGAATTACGGCGAGTGCACTCTTGTCGCTGCAGCAGCGGAAGGACTGTGCACTATGGCTAATTCTGGGCTGCGTCAGTGTCTGCTGTAATAGGATTAAAGTTGCGACTGGCCAAGTGGAGCTTTTAAGGACGCTTTGCGCTCCAGTGCAACCGTAGGGCGATATGAAAAAAATGACAAGATGCTTCCGGGAAAGCACTATAGAGCGCTGATCGCTGAGCTTACGCATGGCTTAATTCAACCCCAAATCGACTCTGACAATCAGTAAGTGCTCTCACTGATTGTTTTCTACTTCATGGGGGACAATATGTAGTTGACAGAGCAGCGTCCCTTCGAAATCTCGTCTGTCACACAAGTTAAATCCCGAGTTGAGCAGTAAACACTGCGTGTGCTTATCAATGTCCTTCTCAAGAGGAAAATATTTGCTTAGGCGAGAAGCTACAAGTGGAAATGGCGATAAATTCAGGACAATTTCCTCTCTAGAGAGATTCAATATCGCCATGTAATATATAAATCAATTGGAGGAATTTACAAAATGTTACGCACATGAGAAGTGGGATGATTATTGAAATTGTCGTTTATGTCCCCATTGTTTTCCCACCGCCTCTTCTCAGCTCCACATTGTCTCCGTGACAATTGACGAGGACTTGCTTCAGTGCTGCTAAAGATCGCAGACGCAGAGGGAAAGTCATAAATTGCTTCTTTGCCCAATTATTTAGATTTATTGTGTATCATTATTTGTATGTGCGTGGCGCTGGGTGCCCCTTTTTTGGGCCTCGCACACACACACACGCACAATAGATTGAATGGCAACGATTGGAGAGAGAAAAAAGGATGTACAATATTCCTTTCCGATAATAATAAATTGTGCCATGGAGGGTGGAAAGAAAAACTTTTTGCTTCACACACAATTTCTCAGATCACAATTTTCCCCGGAATCTTCCTCCCTTTTTGTCCGCCTGTGCGCTCTCTTCCGCCGCTGGGGTTCATTTCTTGCCACCCCCAAAATCCGGAGAGGCGAAATGACC